TAATATATCATTCGTACTACTTAGAACGGTTTAGCCCTAAGTACCGTCCATACTATTAATTAGAATTAATGTATAATACCGTTGTATTATAGTATTATAATTAGGGCCCGAAATTTATATATTGCTAATACTATTAATTAATTAAAATATTTTCGTATTAATTGCGATAACCGGCAGCCTTTAATGGAATATTTGTAAAATTTACTATTTCTTAATTATTTATCCGTTAAAAAGGATAGAAGCTATTATCTGAATACGGATTATTTAATAATTTATATATTAGTAATTAGGATACGTCCTATTTTAATTACGTATAGTATTATAATACCCGGTTATTCCGCTCGTTAATAAATTAAATAAATTCCGCCGCCCGGTTATTATTCCTGTTAATAAACTAAGAATATCGTTTATTAAATTCCTTTAAGTCTAAACTTCCTTGTATTAAATCCTTAGAATTTCTCTTTAAGTATAAGGTGCTCCTCCGGTTTAACCCTTCGTCTATTAATTATATTAAATTCCTATTTAATCCGTTAATTTATAATAGCCGACGGTATATTTCGCCGAATCCTTTTCTATTAATTCTTTTTACTATTCGGTTAATTTTGGTAATAACGGTATAATATCGGACTCCGGAGCGTTTAATAAAATTATTTTTAATTTATTAAAAAGCATTAACTAGTTAGGACCGAAGGACGTTAAATATTTCGTTAGATAGGCCGGATATTAGGATAAAGATAATATATAGGAATTGCGTTCCGAATTAATAAGAAATGTTAAAAAAAAAAGGTCAAAGAATTTAATATTAAATAATTATTAGAATTACTATTCCGGGGTATTCGAAAGAAAATAGTTTAGCGTCTAACTTATAAATCGGGCCGTACTTAATCAACCTTAACGTTTAGGGTAATAATTTTTTTAATAAAAAGAAGGGAGAAAAGGCGAAGACCGTTTAATATGGAAGTTTAGAAATATTTTCCTTCTATTATTTTATCTCTTAATTTCAATTTTATTCTTTTTCCTATCGTTTCTATAAGTATTTTATTAGGATTAATAAGACTTCGCGCTTTTAAAATCGAAGTCGTAGTAAGATTATTAAATTCATACCGCCGATTTATAGTATATTAGGTATCGTAGGTATTTCTTTTATTTATTCTTTTATTTTAAATAGGTAATTCTAATACGCGCACCCAAGGCTACTAGAATTAGGTAGTTATAATTAGATAAAGTAATAAAGTAATTACAAGACCCGGTAGGCAATTAAAGGAGTATAAATTTAAATAGGGTCGAAGGTTCTTAATACGTATATAACTTTTTCAATTTGCTTAAAACCTTCCTTCTTTATTAAAAAACCCTTATAAATAGCCTTATTCTTATAATTGCTCGGTTTTATAATTATATTCATTATTTATTATATTTATTAATTAATTATTTTATATTATTTCGCCCTCAATCCTACTTTTATAGTAGAATACGATGCTAAAATAATTATTCTGCAATTTAATTACCCTTATACTAAGGTTACTAACGAAATTATTTAGAATAGTAATCCGGATAGCGAACTAAGTACGCTAAATAACGATCTCCGCTCAATTATATTAGTAATCGAACTAAATAATCCCTTCCCTACTTTTATTAATTTAATTATATACTTTAATCGCCTTTATAAGGAGGGTATCGAGGATAAGATTGTTAATATAGGTTGTAATAGCCTTTATATCGTCGTTCTAACCTTTATTGCTATTAATATTATTACTATAAGTAATTAAGCCCTTATAACCTTCTTTAATTATATTCGCTTTTAGGATATAATTAACTATATTAATAGTATAAGTATTATTTCGAGTGATTTCAATCCTTATACCCGTCTTCCTTCGCGCAATAAAATTTACGCATTTAATAGTATTATAATTAAGAATACTAAAATTGGTAAAAAAGTTACCCATTATTAAGTACCTCTTATAATAATTTAATATTTATTCGTATATTATAATAATCGCTTCGCTTCCGTTCTTTACAATACTATTAAACGTATTAGCGTCCAATCGATTTGGACCAAGCGATTTTATATACTATTAGTAGCTCTAACTATTATACTACGGTAATTTTCACATCCCCAAAACTTAATAGCATCATCCTTTATAATAAATTCGGTATTTGGTAGGACTATTTTACGAACGATTATAGTAACTTTTATACTGTAGTATATAACTCTTTTATATCATCTACTTTTACCCGAATCCATATAATTTCTTATATGTATAAAAGTGTAATCTTTTAACAATTTTAGTATAATAAAGTCCTATTAAGTATTCGTATTATTAACGACCATTTTAATAATAGTATTAGTCTTCCTATATAACCTATTTATTCTATTAGTTACGTAATTGATTTTAACGACTTCGAATTTTGTAATACGTAAGAGTAGCGTTAATTCGGGTACCATATTAAGTATAAGCGTAATACTCTTTGTAATCCCATAATTTTAATTAATATTATAAATGTTAAACCTTCCCTAATTCGTAAGAATCCGCGTAAGCCCTTCGCTAACGCTACTAAAGTTTGCGCCTATATGGGAAACATTACCGAAGAGAGCTCGGTCGGTAAGGTCTACCCAATTAGAAATACGGTATCTTTTTATATTTAATAAAAATTATAAAATATTCGACCTTATAATAAATGCGGAGTTTTAGAAGCTACGCGATAAGGTTGATACTATTATTCAAAATTATTACAATAAAATTGAAAAATACGAGAGTAAATTTACTAATCTACGGGCTTTCTTTCAAATTATATTATATTGCAATATAAAAATAACCTTAGAGAAAACTATTAAATTGCACGACGATAATAACCTTATACTCGTTAATTATATCCCTTCCCGCGCTCAACTACTCGCCCTCTAATATTATAATTATAAGGGTAGTTTCAACGAATAGATTGGTAGTCTCTTAGCGCGCTTAAGATATTTATATTATACGTAAATTAATATAGTTAAAGGTAAGCGTATTATTAATACTATTATTAATATTCCTATTCAATTTATTAATTATATTAATATTCTTACTAAATTTAAATAGAATTTATCTTCTCTACAGGATAACTTAGTTAATTCCAATTATTATTAATTAATTGTAGTAGAAGAACTACGTAATAAAATAATTAAAATAAATAAACAAATAAAGGAAATATAAACTCAACGCATTTAATATTAAACTTCTACTCTCCTTAATTTTTAATTAGGCGTATTACTGATTTTTATATTACTTTACTTTATTCGGTCCGGTATATTACTATATATTATCTAATTTAATATAATATCCGCTTAATTTACCTCCCGCTTTAGTACTTTATTTAAAATCCGCTCGCTTCGTTACCGAATACCGGAGATTTAGCGGATTAAAGAAGATTCCCCTTCTACTAATTGTAAGCGCTTTCGTTGTAAGGGTAGTACTTTCTTATATTTTAATAAAAACCGTCGCGAATTTTAGGAAGATTACGACGCTTATTAACGGAGGATGGTATAATTATTATATAGTATTCTTAGAGGTTTTGGTTACGAAAATTGGATATTATAATAATAATTCTAATAAATATATAGTATTCTTCTATAAAAAATATAAATGCGGTTAAATATTAAATTTAATATTTATAATAATTAAATTTATTAGGATAGATATTGAAATAATAAATAATATTAAGAAGAAGGACGATAACCTTTATAATCTATTTATATTTAGCGTTCTTATTAATAAATAGTAAATATTTTTCTCCTTCTTTAAAAGGGGAAATATCAAGAAATTGTCTAAGCGGTATTTAAATATCTCTACTCTATTATAATATATATTAAGTCAAGTATAATTATACTTATTTAAGTATATTACGGTATATAAGAGTACTTACCCTATTAGTTTCTATTAAAACTAACACATTAATTAATTATTACTTTATAACCTATTATCTATTTTACTTACGCTCTATGAAGTCGTATGTAAGGTTCTAAGTTAAGGCTCTCAATAGTTATTATCTTCGCTTCCTTTAATAAGACTGTTGCCAATCGTTACGTACTATTACTCTATCCAACAACCAGTTGCTTACTTTCTCATTCTCTATTAGCATCACTTATAAAGCACGTCTTCGCGTAATACTAGCTCCGTAAGTTTGGCCTTACAAACGAAGTACGAGAGGTTATCGAGACTACTTCTCACTACAGCGCCATTCGAGCTAGGAAGATTGGCGCTATAATCGACGAATAGTTTGAAAATATATTCCTTATAAGAAGGGATATATATAACGCTAGAGCGCGCTTGCGTATAGAGTTTTTTAATAGCTATAGACCGATTATTGCCCTTATTCGTAGCTTTAATAGTACCGATGTCCTATATTAAGCTATTTACAATAATATAATAACGAACCTTATAAATAATCTTCTTATCTTTCTATTTACTTAATTAATTCTTTTCTAATAAGATAAATAATTTATTATACTTCTATAGGTATTAAAAGCTACGATGGATAGGATTAAACGATACCTAAAACTAATTAATATAAATAATACCTACTTAATTAACTGCTAGCAATTCCCTCTTATATAAACTACTAGTACGACTAATATTAGTACAGTCTTTAACTCCATTTTTAGCCTTATTAATAATAAAAAGGAAAAAATGTTTACCTTCTTAATAAAAGGTATTAAAAACCTTCGCAACCGCTATAATATCTTTGAACCCGCTATTATTATTACTAATTACAATAAAAAAATAAAGGCGGCTATATTAAGAGTATTCCCTAAAATCCAATAATAACTTTGCATCTTTTATATTTATAAGAACGTACTATTAAATAGTAAGAAGAAGTAGAAGAAAGAGAAAGACGACGATAATTCTAACGATAAAGAGTTCTTATTAGACGAAGAGAAGGATAATAAGGATGAAAGAAATAAGGAACTCAATACTACAAATTAAGCAATATTACGTAGTACCCGTTTAGAAATTACCTAAACTATGGGCAGTAATAATACCTCTATTATTGAAAAGAAGGTCATTCCATATACCCTAATAAGTATATTCGAAATGTAGAAGGTCATTACGTATTTAAAAATTAAAATAGAATTTTAGGATACTTAGTAAGTACTTAAGAAGGAGTTTACAAATTAACCTTTAATTTTACGTTACTTCTAGAAGGTTTAGATGCTTATTAAATAATAATGGGCACGCTACTTTATTAGTAAATACTTCAATTTTAGTACTATTGTTACCTCCCCTATAGAATCGGCTAATATGAGTATTAAAAGCTTTATTCTTACAAGCTGTTCAGACCTCTATAGTTTAGTTATAGCCGTTTAAGAGATGTTTATTAAATAATAGAAAGTTTAGGAATATAAGGTAGCTAACGAAGAGACGAGAATTAGGAGGGACTTTATGGTGTGACCTTATATGGGGAATGTGGCTGTAAGGGTTTCTTATAAGTGCTTAGACCTTCTTTTTTATGAGTATCGATACGCTCAAATTGTATTTGATCGAAAGAAAAAGGATCCTAATATAGATTTTTACTGCTTTAATGTTAATAATTGCAACGTTACTCAATAATACGGTATCTCTTACCGCTACGATATTTATAACCTTTTCGAAATCGACCGGCCTCTTCGATTTAGTTATATTTATAAGTACTAGCACCTCTAAAGGTTCCTCAATAACGACGACCTATATATCTATATTCTACAGCCTAAGATTGCTAAGCGCCTTCGTAGCCGTCCTAAGAAAAATACTGCGGTTGCTATACTAATAGAATACGCTGTCCTCCCTGCTCTTAAAAAGGCTAAAAAGACTAAGAAGATAAAGAAGGGTAAAAAGAAGGCAACAAAGAAGGATAAATAGAAGGATAAAGAGAAGGCAACAAAAAAGAAGGGGGGTAAGAAGAAAGGGAGCAAGAAGCCACCTCTATCGAAAGGTAATATTCCACGGTTGAAGGAGAGCGTACGCTGCTACCTCTCTAGATAGGAGCTAGATTCTAATTACGAGGGAGAGAAGGAGGTATCCGACGACGAGGAACTCCCTACACGCAATCAACATACTATAATACGTTCTTTAGTAGCGGAGATAGTTAGGGATGAGCTAAATAGCTAGTTTCTGAGCTCAGTCGACCCTCTGGCGATGGGATCTAGCAATAATAACGAGGAAGGGGAGGAAGTAATTAATAAGGATAAAGAGGATAAGAGAGAAGGAGAGTTAATTAATCTATTTACTTCTTCCGATAAAGACGAACCTCCCGCCCACAAGAAGGCTACTGCAATACGTTCGCCTACCCCGGAGCCAGCTAGAGGTATTAAGAGGATAAGGAGCGGTAGAGTCTCTAAATCGATTGCTAGAGTATTGGGTCTGTGAGGTTTAACCGTTTAAAAATGACAATTCTAGCAGTTTGTCTATTATTATATGTATAAATCCCTCTAGAGCATTCGAGACCTCTAGAGTACTCCAGCGTACTCGAGTACATTTAAACGACCGCTAGCGTATATTAATACTATAGCGCATTATGTGTAGATACTATTCAAGATAGTTTAGAATTGATGTACATTGATTTGTATAGAGATTTCTATAGAGTGTAATTTTTTAATTAATTCTATGATCTTTATTAACTAGCGATAATAATAGTAATGTATCAAAAAGAAGGAGGCACGTACGTGCAACTAGGTCTAGGCGGCTAGGCTAGGCTGGGCGGCTGGCTGGGCGGCTAGCGAGTACGACCCGTCTTTTATATGATTATCAACACTATGGACTGTATCACCGAAAATACTCTCTGATGTTTACACACACAGAACCCTAACCCCTAGTAGACTAGTACGCCCCGAACAAAAGGACTAGTGCGCCCCTAGTAGAGCCCAAGAATAAATCCACGCATGGAATAGAGTAAAGGCTTGTATAGGTAACAAATAGAGTTCTGCCAACTTTGTGTGTCCAATTGCAACCGCGAAAAATTACATGCCTCATATCCCCCCCCCCCCCCGGGACCAACGACAAGAGATCGCAGATACCACCCCCTCTCAATCCCATCTGCACCCAACCTTTTCTAAAAACACATCATTTGATTGCACTTGGAAAGAAATATCACAAAAAACACTTCATCACGAAAAAAGCAGAGATAGAACCCGATGAAAAGAGCGAGTGACTGACCAACCCGATCCCCATCATCCAGGGCATTTTATATTGGTGGTGGTGATACCCATTCGTGGTTCATAAGTCCACTTCTGCCAAGGTTTTCTTACCAATAAACAGAAAAACTAAAGGCGCGATGACCGAGTGGCCTAAGGTGTTTGACTCGAACTAGTGTCGAGGTCTATCAAATCTCTTCGGAGGCGCAGGTTCAAATCCTGCTCGCGTCGTTATTGATTTCTTTTTTGCGTTTTTCCTTTTGACGCTTGCCATGGCGGCCGTTGTTGTTTGCCATGGATTGGATATTCTTTGTTCTTTTTTGCGGTCAGTTCCAGTTGTTTCGTTGGATGAGTAGGTAGATGAGGACGAGTGGCATAATCCACTGCAGTAAATGGACGGGACTTGGGGACTTACATACCCCGTTTGCACTTTCCGATTCCCGTCGGGTTGGTCTTTTTCGCACCTTCCGCAAGCGGTGGACGCGACGGACGTGCCTGGTCCGGCTTGATGTCCTTTCTCTCGGTGCTGATTTTTCGCGCCTAGGTAGCTTTTGCTTCGGTTAAGTTCCATGCTTCCACACTTCCAGGCGTGCAGTGATGAGAGACCGATGGACGGCTTCTCCGGTGCTCTACCTAGTCGAACGCAAGCCTTGGTCGATAGTCATTATCGCGATCAGAGGCTGGAAGGGCCTCTATGCTCTGAGAGACTTATGGAAGCGTCAGGTAAGTAAACAAACACTCCTTTTGCAGGTGCCCACTAAGTGCTGACTCGAACGATGCAGCAACGCAACTTCGACTGCTCAGCTGGCAGATCCACCTAGTCCAACCGAGTCACCATGCACTGACACCCCCTCGGGAAACCCAGACCGAATTTATTACCGACTTTCAACTTCGAAAACCTCATGCCCCATACAACTCGGCAAGATCTGTGGTGGACGTATCGGTCACTTGTGGGAGAGAAAAGCTTTCAAGAAATCACAGAACATCACAAAAAGCTCGAGAGCACCGTGGGTTTGGGTTAATATGGACTGGATTACTACCTACAACCTCTCTGTAGGTGCCTATGCGAAAAGGAAGTGCCGAAAAAAGCAAATGGGTATCTAGGAAAGCAAGCAAGCAACGACGCCAACCCCCAATCATGTCCCTCAAGTCCTCAATCACCCTCATTTTTCCTTCCCAAGTCCATCTCTTACCCCTATTCCGTAATCCCGTCCCCAGACACTGTATACCTTAGTCCAGGTCTTCTATCCGTCCAGGCCCATATCCCGGACTTCTCTTTGCCTACGTAGAGAACCTAGGGGCGGCGAATAGCAAAATCGCTCACCAACCCACCACTCCTCGCCTTCAAAGCATCCACCTCTCCCTTCGACAGGGTGTTCCCAAAGAGAAAACCTACCCACACACACCTCGAAACCTATACGCACACACCCTCCATACATAACCCTTACCCTGATAGCTCGTGCCAGCCTATAATATCTATATTAAAAAGACCCGTTTTACCCGTTAAATTTCGTATTTTTGATGCACGTAATATTTCGTTAAAATTTCTTGATTTCTAGAGTCGTACAGATTTAACGATTTTTGCACGCATAGTATCAATTTACTATAATATTATAATACTATATTACCAATACTAGTAGTATATAGTTCAATAGTACGTACTTCGATTATCTCTCTTTATATTTAACTAATTAGATTATTTATAAATAATATTGCGCGCGCCGTTACTCGCGGATCGTATTACTACCTTCGTATCCAATTCCTCCTTTTACTATAATTTATAGGAGGTAATTATATTGTACGCCGCGTTCCCTCCTAAGGATACCGTTACCAACGCTCGCTACGATTTCATAACCTTCTACTTTAAAAATCGCTTTAGTATTATAATTTAATATTTTTATAAATATAAAATTAAGAACCCCGATTACCCAATATATAATACGATTTTTCGTTATTTCTATTAATACGAATATATTTCGTATTGATTATAACCTTATACGAATCTCCAAAGTAAGTGGTAATAAACGTTTAAAAGGATCGCTCTAAACTACCTATTCTATATTATAATATTCGCGACCGTAACGACCGATTAGCGATAAATTCTAACCGTAGTTAATGGTACCTATAATAGCTACCCGCCATCTAAATACCTTAATACCCATCTTCTTTTACGGGAGAAAATACTCCTTCTAGATTTAAAGGCAGCTAATTAAATTAATACTCTATTCGAGAGAAAAGAGTTAACTATCTAATCCGTTTATTCTTTAATTAAAGACTAGTATTTATATTTCTTTATTACGTATAAAAACTTTAATAATTTATAGCTATAATTTAAATAGTTATTTCGAGCGGGGTATCGGGATATATAGGCATTCGTAAGGGTATTAGAGAACGACGAGACTATTGCGCGCTATTATATTAATTAAGAAAACGATGAAAGGATTGTATTATCGAACGCCTTCTAATTAATAAATTGATAATGCAAAGTATAAATATAGAGCCTATTTATAATTGTATTTAATATTACGTATAAAATTAATTATTACTACTTCCCTTTAATATAGGGCGTTATTCTAATATACGAGAAAACTTCTATACTGATATTCTAAACGGTTTTTAATGGCAAAAGGGAGAAGGGATTTATTTATTTTATTACTTAAATTGTAAAGACGGCGCGCGCTATAGAAATCCTTCTACCAGGCGTTATTATAATTGATAAAGACGCGTAATTTATTAGCCCTTTATAATCCTTCCTCCTTAATAATATTATTCTACAATAATATATTTAATATTTTAATTATAATATTATTAAGAATATTAAGAAACTCTAGCGGCGCCCGCCTGTAGTAGGGGAGGAGTAAAATAATAAGAAGGAAGAGGACAACGACGTATTAATTATCGACGGTAATAGTAAGGAGAGTTCTAATAAGAAAATATATTTTTATTTGAAACCGAATTAAATAAGTTAATTATTAATATTAATATTAATTAAATACTTTTAACGTCCGTAAATTCGTATATCTTTATTAAAAGGTACGTACGGTAAAGAAAATTAATAAAATATTTAAGTCCTTCTATAATAGTAAGCTCGCTATTACGTGTATTTTATTATCTTTTATATAGTAGTATATAATTTATAACTCTTCGGTAAAAGGTTTTTAAAAAGTATATGTAATAGTCGTTAATAAATTTAGTAAATTATAATAGCCGTTATTTGAGTATATTATGAATAATTATTTCCTTATTAAAGAGAATTAAGCCGGCTACTATATAATAAATTATTTTAATTATGGGTAAAGGATTATATCGTTAAATGAATTTAATACCGGCTTATTTAAATTGTATTGATTATTAATTCGTAGCAGTTTTATTAACCTTTATAAAGTTAGTACGTAGTATATTAATAATTAATATTGATATTATAATATAATTGTTAGTAAATTAGTAACGTAGGTACGTATTAAATAGATTAATATTAGTGCATTTAGTAATTACCGTTTAGAAATATTATTATAAATATTAAATTTATTAAATTATTAGTATTATTTTTTATTCGTAATATTCCTTTCTATATATATTAGTGTGATTATCGACGATAGTATCCCTTTTCCCCCTTATACCGGCTATTTTAATAAGTAATATTCTCTATTTTATATTTATAATATAGAAGTAATATATTTGCGTAAGGAAGGTATAATTTTAATTATGAAGGATAATTATTATTTATATTAGTATTTGAATTAAATTAGGATAAGGTTTCCCTATTTATATAAATCCCCTATTTGGGTATTTTTATATTAATTCTCTATAAAGGATTCGGTAAATAGATATTTTTCCTTTAAATTAGTTGTTAAGGCGGTGTTTAAGAGTTGTTTTCGTAATAAGGGTAGCTTATTTAATAAAGATTGTATTTTCGTTGTACGACCGCCTGTTTTTTAGCCCACTTTTTAATTTATTTCCTTATAATTTGTTAGTCCGCGCGGTAAATCGAAGAATATTACCCTTACATAAATTTCAGTACGGTGTAACTATTCCTAATATAAATTAGGCGATAATATTAAGGTTTTTAATGTTATGAATTGTTAAATAATTATATAATTACGTATTAAAAAGGTAACTAAGAGGGTAATAAAGAAAGTAGCCTAGTTAAAACTTAGTTAATTAAGGGAGCTTACTCCTATTATTAATTATATCGTTATTTTTAATTCTCAATTTAATTCTAAGGGACGTATTAATATCGATTTAAATTTTAATTTTAATATTTTTATTTTATTTAATACCCCGTCCCTCCCCTTATTGAAATCCTCCTCCTCCTTTTTTATACGGTAATTTTTATTCCCCGTTAGAAAGTAGCTACCTCCTGTAATCCTATACGACGACGCTACCTATTTTAATAGGGTAGAAATCGATTATAATTTTTAAGAATCGAATTTAGAGGAGGATTTTATTCCTTTCTATAAGAGGGAATTGTATATATAAATAGCTAGGAATAATAAGACCCTAGAGCTGCTTATAAATAAGTAATAGTAAATTTACTTCATTAAGGAGGTATAAGAGTAGAAGCAGGCCGCTGTTTATATCCTCCCCCTTCCTTTATACTACTTTTTAAGGAATTTACTTTTTAAAATAGAACCCTTATATAGGGTGGCCTTCGAAAGGGATAGAGAGTGGGTAGAATAGTGTAAAGGTCATTTTTTTAATTATTTTAAATTGTAGGTAAAAGTAAAGTTAGAGATTAGTCCTATACGTCCTTTAGTATAATAGCGATAGGGGTAAAAGTAGTATTAGTATTACGGTCCCTTCGCTAATAAGTATTATGAGTATTCTCGTCGTTTATTTAATATTAAAACGGTATAGGATTTTAAGAAGTATAAGAAATACCGTCGATAGGTAGATAACGAGGGTTGGGATTAGGATAATTCTATAACCAATGTATATTATAAAGAAGACTACGTTAACGACGAGAGTAATTTTAACCGGGTTCTTATATAGTATAGGAGAAAGGGTAGTAATAAGAACCCTATTGTAATTAGTAACGATAAGGAGTAGAAATTATTAAGTAAATAAATAAGAGATGGATTTGAACTATATAGTTGGATTTATATTGAACGCGTGGTCTCGAAACTAAATACTACGAAAGTATTATAATTTTGGCACTCTGGCGGATTTGGCGAGTCTAACCCGTTTGTTAGACATTAGAAAACTCGATTTTACTATATAAAACGATTGTATTTATATGCCAGCTATCGGAAGGGGAAGGTGTGTGCGTATAGGAATGGGGGTGTGTGTGGGTAGGTTTTCTCTTCCCAAACCTACTTCCATCACTACCCCCCAACATCTTCACACTGACCTTTCCGCCCTCGCTCGGATCCATGTACAACAACACCTTAACCGGTCCATCCACCGGCCGTTTGAACCAGTTGGGATCACCCGCTCCAAACGGATTCAAGTGGAACGTGCTCAAAGCCTTGGTGTAGGCGTTATTCACGATCTCGAAAATGTCAAATTCTCCACACCCGAAATTCCAGCAACTGCAGTCTCAGTACTGCTGCGTGTACGGGATCCTGGCGTTCAGAAGCCAGATAGCAGGCTCGTCGTATCCGGGGTTAGCTGCGTCTTGGGGCATCGAGAATTCAAAAAGGAAAATCCTAGAAGTGCCGGGAAACCCTTTGCGTGCGACGGCGCCGGGCTGGACGTAGCCGCATGAGCCGTCGGAGCAGGAGTCGGAGCGTCGGCAAGGGTGGTGGGGGATGAGGCACCGCCGTCGCCATGAGCGTTGGCGAAGGAGAGAGAGGCGCCCCAGGCTTCGGTGAACACGCCGGAGCCTTGGCCGCCGAAGTTGCCCATGAAGGTGAGGTGCTCGGAGGTTTGCGATGGGGCGTGGTAGTAGCCTTTACGCTCGTAGGAGCCGCCGGCACCGGGGAGGTAGAAGGCGAACTGTTTGAGATGCAGAGGGCCGTGGAAGTGCATTGAGATCTGGTTATGGGTTGTTAGTTGACACTGGTACAGGGAGTGGGAGGGGAGGAAGACGTACAGACTCATTGAACGGAGCTAAATCTCCTCCGAAGGACTTTGGAGCCATGTCACAGCGCTTGGTGTCCTTGTCCATGGATGTGACGGCCTTGTACTGGCCAGCGGGAGTGTTCACGTTGGTGTAAACGACTTGTTGGACATTCTGGCAGAAGTGGCTGCCGTTCTCTTCCTTATCGTGGTCCTTGCAGAGGTCCTGGCTGCCGGTCTGCATCCTGGGCTCGTCGGGGCTGTCGGGGGTAACGGAATGCGGGTCGAAGACACCGGAGTCGGGAGGGCCGGCGTGGGCGCGGGGGAACAGACCAGCGTGGGAGCGAGAAGCAAGACCGGAGTTGGAGACGAAGGATAGAGTGCTGTTGATTGCGACGGAGTTGACGAAGGTAGCAAAGGCGAAGAGGGCCACGAGCGCCATGATGAGGCTCGCCATGTTGGACTTCATGGCGTTGTTGGGTGGTCGACTGTGGTCGGCCTCGCTTGTTTCAAAGTTGGGTACCGCTGTCCTCGAAGGGTTGATATTCTCGATATCGGAGTTGGCGATGGTGGAAAGGAGTTCAGAGGGGGAAGAATGGGGTGCTCTTATACTACTGCTGGAAGAAATTCCACAACTCCACCCAAAATATCCAAGGACACTTCACCAAGCCATCGCCAGCCGTTACGGCCACAAGTGAAGGCATCTCCAACCTTGCCAGCCGTCCACAATTCACTTTGTCCAGAAGTTCGGGACGGAAGTGGACCAGAAAGCGGGAGTGAATGGACATTCCAGCTCAAATCAAGGGGTTCTGTCCCGCAACCTTCATGCCAAAATATCGTCGAGTGTTCTGGACCGAACGGCAGTGGTGGTGAAGGGTCCTTCGGATCCGAAGGTTTGGGGATGTGGCTCCCATCCCTCAGCAAGTGAACAGGACGGCATCAAGTGAATCGGGGAAGTGGAAAATCTTGAAGGGTTACATTGCGGTTCGGGTGCCGTGCGGTCTGCCGTCCGGCACGGAAGAAGTCAGGGGCTCCGTTCACTGGCATGGGATACCGGAACGGATGATGCGGCGGCTTGATATGACTGTTCCGCGGGCAATCAGGAACGATTTCTTTGTTTGTCCGCACATCAGACCTCCTGGATGGGCTTAAAACTGGCACAATACTGAAGGGAAAACACTCAAAAGGTAGACTGAAGCGTTGAAAACAAAATTCAAGGATATATGGAAAATGATGGATCATAACGGCTTGGGAAGATTCTGGAATATCCTCTGAACTGTTATCATTTCTCATGATAGGCACCCGATCCTCTGCCCGCCCTGATATATGTAAAACTCATTCTGCCATCACCATGAGCATTCGAAGGATCATCGACCGATGCTGGGGCAATGCCTACCTATCAACACCCCCTTTACGGCTGTTCAGCAGAAGCTTTGTCAGGGACACCTATCCAATGCACAGAAAGGCTCAGCCGAGGCTCTAAAACCATGCCCCGAATAGTTATGACTGGCGGAAGCCTCTTGAGTGCGGTTCATACGTACGAGCTTGAACCATACGTTGGGGAGGCTGGCCTGGGTCCGTTCCTACTTGTGACCAAGCAAGGTGTTACTCATGCGATATTTGGGGATTTCCGGTCGCCTAGATAATCACGTCAATGCCACCGAAATCAGTTTCAGACATTGGTTAGTTCAGCGATAAAAATTCCAAGTTCCGCTGGCATCGAGACGGTTCGTTACGCGCGAGTGTCCGGAGGCACTGCTCAGCAGAACGGGGACGGCAACGTGATGTCTTCAGTGCCATGTTCGCGTGATGAATCGCATGTTTCGATTTTATCCTCTTGCAGGGGATGCAGACAAGTGGCCCCTGAATACCTCTAGGTAGGAGAAGTTAAAATGATGACAAATTCGCAGTTCTGGTAGTCAGCCTAGTGTTCTCCCCTGATCCAAAATTGGCGAAGTCTCGTGAGCGAGTAGGACGAGTGGAGAGGCGAAAAGGCGGTACTTGGAGGAACAGGAGCGCGGGCTGGAGTTGGCTTCTGCGTCCGACGTTTTGGATCCTTGTCAAGTATGGCCTATGGTGCCAATGATGCGAAATTTGCCGTCGCGGAGGTCGTGGCAGATGGATCCTCTGTGTTTGGTCAGGGGCAAGAAGAAAGTGCGATGTGCCATGTTGTAGTGTGGTGGTGATGAGATGACGAAGAACAGAAGCAACGAGCGACACCGGAAGGCGCATGTCGGTGACGTAAATGCAGTCTCCGCCTCAAAGCAAGAGTTAAAGTCAAGCATTGCATGATGCGGGTTTTCTGCGAGTCAATACACACAAATACAGTACGCTACCAATATGCATCAAAATGAGAATCTGTTTAAAAGGGAAGTGCCATTAAAATTCCTACTGCGCGGGGTATCTCGAAAGCAAAAACTCCCAAACGCCTATGCTACCTGTGCTAATCATCCTTCCTTCCCTTGATTCCTTTTAGACCTGTCCGTCTCTTGATGCCCGTTTCGAGTACCCCTTACGTACTCCGAGACCAGGCCGCTCTTGGCCTTCAGGCCCTCGACCTGGCTGGCGGAAAGGGAGCCGCCGAAACGTCCGCCATCGCTGGCGCCCATATTCTTGATCGAGACAGTGCCACCGTTGGTGGCATCCATCACAACGGCGAGCTTGATGGGGCCGCCTGTCGGGCGTTGGAGCCAGTTGGCATCGCCGGCCGACTTTCCGTCTCCGTCCAAGTGGAAGGTTGAAACAGCCTTCGTCTGTCCTGGGTAGATAATCTCGAAGATGTCCAGCTCGCCGCATCCAGATGCCCAACAGTTGCACGTATTGTACTGGGCGGTGTTGGGAATACGGGAGTTCAACAACCAAATGGCTGGCTCGTTACCTCCAGGTTCGCCATTGTGTTGCGGCTCGTCCGGCATGGAAAATTCGAACATGAAGACCCGGGCTGAACCGGGGAAACCCTCTGTGACGGAAGTGGTTAGTGACTGGACTGGAGAATGATCAGAGTTGACAAGGGGGGAAAGGTAATTTACTGTATGTGACTGCTCCGGGGCGCCTGTATCCACAGGAGCCATCGCAGGGCTGATCGGTTGTGACGACAATCTCAGCGTGAGAAACCAGGGGGACGTCGTGAAGAGTTTGCGGGCCTGAAGCACCGCCGAGACCGTCGGCAGAAACGTAAGAAAGCGAGGCACCAAATGGACTGCAAGGCATTGTTAGCTTGGTTGAAATATCTTAGGAACGTCGCTTGGAAGGGGACTTACCCGCCAGCAACGCCAGAGCCGGCGCCACCGCGGTTACCCAGGAACATGATGCCGTTTCTGGTCTGAGAAGCCGCGTGGTATTCTCCGATACGGTTGTATGAACCGCCACCGCCGGGAGTATAGACGGAGAACTGCTTAAGGCGCAGAGGACCGCGGAAGATAATGGAAAGCTGAGGTGATGGCGGTTAGTATCCAGATCTTACGGTTACAGTGGCTCAAAAGAGAGTGTCTGTTGACTTACGGGCTCATTGTAGGGCGCCAAATCACCCTTGAACTCCCTCGGCGAGAACCTGCATTCACCGGACTGATTGTCCATGAAGGTGACTTCTTGATAGGTGCCGGGCTTCGTGACTTTGGTGTAGAGAATTTGATCGACCTTCTGGCAATACCAATTGCCAGGGCTGTTCGCGTCAACATCTTCCAAAGTCTTGCCACGGGCGCAGAGCTCATCAGAAGAAATATCCGGGACGTTGAGATGGGGGTTAAAGTCGGGATCGGCGTCATAGGGAGACATCATGCGAGCCACGATGGAGGAACTGCCGTTGGACGAGACCAAACCAGAACCAGAGAGAGAAGAAGAGCTGCGAGAGACAGCGACCGAGGTGACACCGTTCAAGGCGCCGAGGGTGAGGAGGCCCACAAGGGGCCAAAACATCTTGAGGATCATGGCTGGATCCTTCGTGATGTTGATCGTGGTTGATGTGGTTGGGTTCGGTTCGGTGTTGCTGATCACTGAGTGTTCGTGATCTGCTCGGTGGTGTTGAAGAAGGGAGAAGTTTGGTTCTAGGAGGGAGAAGGGGTCCTTTTATGGTATCCCAGAAAATATTCCAGATTCCCTTCACCACCGAAATTCTAGGTGGATCCCATGGGTTTACCATTCACTCCCACAGCCAAGACGGGATCTCGAATGAAGTAAACGGGGTGGTTGTCCAGGTGAAGGTATCTTGGTCTGATATATAAGGCGGGAAGTCTCCACTTCTTGAGGTTTTGGTCCTTCACTCCCTGTTCCCACACGGCAGAGGTGGGGAGGAGGCAACGGATAAGGCTCCGTCTGAACTTCTGGAGTTCCTTCACAATGATATGGAACCTCTCGGGAGAAGCTCGAAGAATATGCCAAGTGATATCCAAACGGATATCGACCTGACGGATTGAGACGGCACGTACCCGGACCGCTGGTCGTCCACTTCACTACCATATCTCTCGACGGATTTCGATTTTGTGGTTCCACTCTACCTGCCGGTCTTCTCTTCACTGACAGGTGCCCACCTTTCCGTCACGATTTTTGATCTCAAGAGGAGGAATTTCGGCTGGCAAGACCAGTCTCCGGCCGTCAAACCTTATATCGACGGCGACATCGCTTCATCTCATCACTGGCTTCATGGTAACCTAGTCTGATTTGATGAGAACGATGAAGATGGACCTCTGCAAGACCCAATAAGACCAAGTGTTCCATTCAGAGACAGTTTTGCAAGACGGAAACATTATAACGCTGGTATGAAGAACTCCGATTGTGGGCAACGGGCGTTTCCATCAGTTGACCAGTAGAGGTCATGAAGACATCAAGACGGCAGGGAGGATGAGACGATACGGGATGTAGAGGTACCTAATTATACCCAGTCCCTACGCAACAGAAGCGCAGGATAAGTTCGAAGTGGTTCTGTGTTGTTCGGCAGTTTGGCAGATAGAGTCACTTCCCTGGATCCAGGGGTTTGATGTGCATGTTTGTTTGGGTCTTGATGCTTGGAGTCAAGCCAGCGTGTTCTATTTCAATCTTCGTCCAGTGCTTCAACCAGTGAACAGTCCCTTGGGAGTCAAGAATCCCATCATTCGGTTGGGTCTGAGCCAGCGGATGACTGCCCCTGGTTGATATGCCAACGAGCTCTGCCAGCTAACACTGACAACTAAACACTGCCGGATAGCTCAACTTCAAACGATCTGATTGCGCCTATGGTTCTCCGTATTATGGGAGTGGATTTGAAGGCATTCCAAGTGCCTCAGGCTGTATCATGTCCTCTGCTCAAACAATGATTGCTCGTCAAGTGATGCCCCCTGTCTGTTAGTGTGATGAGTCCCTTTTCGGCTGGGCATCATGTTTTCCAGTCCACTCACCACAGCAATCACTACCTCTAGCGTCACAAGCACAAGTGTCATCACCCCCGAGCAGATATGTCAACATTCGTCCACTCCTTGTTTTCCGCAATGCCCATATAGATCGAAATTCTCTCCTCAGTCCTGTCTGGCTCTGCCATCTGCTGGATCATGGGGATATCACTTAACAACTGCCATACAATATTGCAGTTCTGGGATAGCAGATGAACATGGCTGGTGAAGGGACTGTCTAGCGTCTAAAATGGCTTTCCCACGATCCAGTCTTCACTTCACTGTTCCTCGATGGCTGGGCATCCGATCTGAGGACGCTAAAAAGCGGCTCAAAACACCAAAAGATGGGGCCGCCAACCGTCGCGATGCTTGGCAAACGTGGGCCACGGAGGTGAATGGGAGATGGCGGCTCGCGCTTTGACCTTTTCTGTCTTTTGGTCGGTTGATAACAGCAGGAAACCTCCATTCACTGTCGACGGGAGTACTGGTGTGGGGCTGAGGCTCAATCTGATGATGGTTTCGACCCTTCGCCTGGACGATAACGGCATCCGAATCACTCGAAACCTTATCAGTCGTTTGGCGGCTGGTGATGGACAGTGAAGGGTAGATCCACAGGAAATTCCCAGGTGTTGAGCTCTTGGAGCAGTATTTATAGATACCTCTACCCTCTTACTACCGAACCCTTCCTTTTGCAACCACAGATTAGCGCAGATCTTGAACAGCACTCGCGATCTACCACCCTCGCTATCAAACCCCTTACGAGCCAAGTCTCCCTTGACCCAAGCCTCCATCATTAAGGCCACCATGTACTCAATGGTTCCCACGGCCTTGCTGGCCCTCGTCTCCCTCGTGGGCACCACCAGCGGCCTTGCCATCAACCGCGAGGATTCCCCTTCTCTCAACATCTCTGTAGGCGGTTCGATCAACCCCATTGGCACCCCCATCAACGGCCTCCCCTCCTCCGGTTCTCCCTCTGCTTCTCCCTCCGGCACCATCTCTCGTCGCTCCTGCAGGAAGTCCGCCCCCTACGCGGACCCCCATACCATCGACCCGCTGATCTTCGTCGGCGCCGATGAGCTGTGCAAGGATCACAAGACCTATGAAGACGGCGATTACTACTGCCAGAAGGTCGACCAGGTGATTTACACCAACGTGGCGAGCACCGGCGATTACAGGGAAGTCGCCTACATGAACCAGGAGACGGGTGAATGCCGCTTTGCGGACGTCAACAGGACGTTCTCTGGGGATCTGGCACCTTTCAACGAACCCGTAAGTCAAGTCCGCTACTGTGCCCTGCCCTTTGCTCCCCTGCCCTCTTCAACCACCTCCTCTCTTCATAGCATCACTAACACCGACATACGCAGGTGACACTCATCTTCCGCGGCCCCATCCACTTGAAGCAACTCGGAGTCTACTACCCCTCCGGTGCCGGTTCCTTCTCCCGTAACCACTACTACAACGCAGCCACCCAAACCTCCCAAGGCCTAACCTTCCTCGGCAACCGCGGCGGCGAAGGCTCCGGCGTCGTAGGCGGCCCCTTCGGCGCCTCTCTCTCCTACATCAACCCACAAGCCTCCGGCGGCTCTTCCACCCCTCAAATCCTCGCCAACGAGATCATCACCGGCGAGTTCCTGGTAATGACAGACCAAGACTGCGACTTTGCTTCCTGCGGATACGTCCGTCCGGGCGCCATCGCCAAAAAGGGCTTCGCGGGAACCGACCGTTTGTTTCTCTTGGAATTCAGCATGCCTCATACCGGTGGCGACCTGCTGGCCATTTGGCTTGAGAACGCCCGCGTCCCTTATACGCAACAATACGGTGGATGTTCGTGTTGGGATTCGGGGTGCGGGGAGTTTGATATCTTTGAGATTTTGCATGCGGGGTATGAGAGGGCGGAAACGACTTTTCACTTGGATCCACCGGCTGGAGACGCGAATTGGTTCCAGAGACCAATTAATCAGAATGCCCCGTTGAAGATAGCGGTTTGGTTTGATCCGGTGGATGGAGGAACGGCGAGTGTCAAGGTGCTTGGAACGAGTGATGGGGTGGAGTTTGGTGGGCAGTTGAATGCCGGCGAGGTGGGAGAGTTGAAGAGGCGCAGTGATGGTGTGGTCAGTGAGACTGACTACGCTGTTCGTCGTGGTCAAGTTTGAGACGATGAGACGCACAATCAGGTGAGTTGACTGCCGCTGGGTTTGGCGAGTAGTAGAAGGCTTGCTGGTGGACATGGTAGAGAGAGGTATTCTCAAGAGATGGATGGAATTGGAGCGCGCATGGCTGGCGTTTGGGAGTTCATTGGCTTTGGTGATACCCCATACATAGATCGGTTACCTTAGTTTTGCTCTAAACGTACTCCCCTTATGATCTGAATGTTCTTGTTCGGTTGATGTGAAGGACTCTTATAGACTGCTATCCTGGAGAAGCGTGCTGTCAGCAAAATGAGCCTGCTAGGTTGAACATGTACTTGAGTTGTTCGTGACTGTGTAGGTAGCAATACAGTCCACATTAACCAAGACCCACTACTCTCGAGCCTTGTGTGATGTCCTGTGAGGCGTTTTGAGTGGGGAATACTGCGGACGTCAAGATTTTCCCAGGAAACAAAGTTAAGGTAGAAGTGTGAGAATGTTGTTCACTCCAAGTGTCTTGTATGCACCCAGAAATGGGTGGTTGCTGTGATGTCGTCGAGTGTCCGGAAAGTGTTCGTCGCAAGAGGTTCCGTTCTCATCGTGGTTCTGTCCGCTGGGTTGGGGTTCAACCACAGGTTTCCTGATTGACGATGACTTTCTGATCCTCCCGTGCCCCCTCTCCTTGGGAGACGGGGTGACTCGATATTGATGACAATGCTGCCGTAACTGGAACACATCTTGAAACATTTGCAGCCGAGTCAACGAACCATAAAACAGATAGAGGATCCCACAAACACGCATGAACAAACAACAATATGGATGGATACAGATGTCAACACGCTCCAAATTAGTTGGGTATCTCTATCACTAACAGCACGGCACCTACGCCCTCGCCCTCTTCCCCCTCCCCCTTCCCCTTCCTCTAGTCGCCCCCCTTTTTCCCTTCGAGCTCGAAGCAACAACATCATCCTCTCCATCCTCATCTTCCTCTTGCCCTTCAACCCGGCCATCATCCCCATCGTCCTTCTCGCCATCCGCATCCTCTTGTTCCTCCACAGCAGCCTTCTTCCCCTTCCCCTTTCCTCTCTTCCTCTTCTTCCCACCCTCCCCTTCCCCCTCTCCATTCAACGGCCCCAACGCCATCACCGGCAACGCCAAACTCAACCCCCCACCAACCCTACTCCTAGCCTTCAACCTCCCCACCGCCTCCGCCATCCTCTTACTTCCCTTCACCTCATTTCTTCTCGGCGCAAACGCCTCCTCGCCTCCCCTATTTCCCCCACCAGCACCCCCACCCCCTCCTCCAAGATTCCTCACAGTCCCACTCCCCACCCCGCCCTCAAAAAACCTCGTAATATTACTCTGCGTCCCCTCCCTCTCCCTCTTATTCACATCCCTTATAACCGGCACCAACACCTCATCCGTTCGTTCTTGGGACCAACCAATCGTCTGCATCAGAAATTGTCTGAGCCCTTCCAGATCCGGGACGCCCCACTGGAAGGGTTCCGGTGTGGAATCGACTTCTGGATGGATGTAGGCGTCGAAGACGGCTGGGTTGGGGAAGCCCACTGGTAGAAACAATTTCGTGGCTTGGGCTTTGCGAAACTTGCGCCGGAAGGGGGTGGGGAGGAGGGAAGAGTCGGGGGAGGGGGTTGATTGAATTGCCGTCCACCAGTTTTTAAACCCCGTGAGGCTGGAGATAGGGGATGGGTCGGGGGGGAATTCGGAAAGAATTTCGACGGCCGTGACGGGTCCGACGCCCGGTAGACCTTCGGTGTAATCCGACCCCAGCAACTGGGCCAAAGCGATGAGTTGGTCACGAGACAAAGAAAGGTCGCGCTCGATGTCGGAAGACAAATAGCACTCGACGAACTTGTTCCCGTTGAACATGTTCTTGTAGACGCGCGTGCCGCCAAACAGAAAAGTGTCGGAGTCGTCGGTTACGATGCCGTCTACGAGTCCCAAGCGGACCAGCTCGGCGCATTGCGCTTCGGCTTCCATGGGTGCGGTGATGTAGGGGATGCCGAAGAAGCGGAGGAGGGCTTGGCATTCGGTTATCATGATCTGGGTGACTTCGTCGGCGTCGCGGCGGTCTTTGCGTTGTTGGGTGCGCAGGGCTTTGAGTTCTTGTTCGTAGGCTTGTTGGTTTTCTTGGAAGGTTTTGTGGTTGAGTTGGGTGGCGAAGCGGGCGTGTTCTTCGGCTTCTTGGGCGAGGGAGGCGAGGAGTTCTTGTTCTTCGGGGTCGCTGAAGTCGTCTTCGAATTCGGAGAGGGCGGGGGCGTCGGGGTCGGGGACGATATCAGTGGTGGTGTCGTCTGGATCAGGGGCTAGGCCTTCAATGCGTTCTTGTTGGACAGACGGAGGAAGGACGTCTTTGAAGAGGTCGGCTTCGATTTGGGCGTCTTCTTCGGCTTGAGTTGCGAGTGGGCCGAAGGATAGGGTCATGGTCTGAGATGGAAGGGTTACGTCTTCGAACACAATGTCGTCGCCTTCTTCCTCATTAGGGGAGGGTGATCGACGAGCTGTTTCGACGGGTTCTTGGGAGACCTCGTCATCCAAGGACGGCAAAGCAGCCCCCGGCATCTGAGTAGGCTTCTTGGGCGATGGAGGAGCATCGAGGATCTCAAGATCACCATCACTTTCATCGGATGACTCAATGACCATGATTTCGTCCTCTCGTTGCTTTCGGATTTTGGCCTGCTCTTCTCGAGCCAAGTCTTCATCCTCCTCAGCCATCTGCCTATCACTCTCTCGCTGCTTCCGTACAGTCTCACGAATGTCTTCATCGGTATGCGCTAGCCAAGGAGGTAGCGGAAGAGGAGCATCCTTCTTTTTCTGGGCTTCTTCCTCGGTTTCTTCGTGCTCCCTTTCAAATCCACCAGCTTCATCGTCCGAATCAGGTTCCATCTCACCAGTTTCAACCGGCTTGGGCGGTTCAGACACCTTTTTCTCCCGAGTTTGTGCTTTTGGTCGACTGCCACCGAGCAGTTGCTTCCAGTTCAGTTTCTCGAATGGAAGTGGACCTTTAAAGGGAGTATTGGCAGGAGCAGGACGGTTTTCGACCACCGGCTTTGGCGCCGGAGCTTTTGCTTGCTTCCTCCTAGCCGCCGCCATGGCTGCTTGGATATCCCCTTCACTATCGCTGCTGTCGGTACTCTCCCTTTGCCTTGGGACGGCGGCACTCGCCCTGTTGTTGACAATGTGTGCAACCATACGACCACTGGTGCTAACAATGGGCTTCGGCGCTTCCACTGCTTTCTGCGTCCACTCTGGAGGAGTAACCTCTTCGAACTCCATATCTTCATCCTCCTTCTCTTCAGGTAGACCAACACCATGCTGGTTCTGGAGGGACATTGCAATAGCCTTATTGAGGTCTTCCTCCTCATCAGCCTGCATCGCCTCCTCCTCTCCAAACACGACATTTTGTCCGTTGTCAACAAACAACGCCTCGTCATCTTCGTCCTCCGCCTCTTCACTCTGCCTCGACTCATAGAACTGCCTCCTCGCCTCCGCAATACCCCTCGCCCTCTCATCAGCAGCCCCACTCAGCTTAGGCAACCGATTCAGCCCTTCGATGGGCACATCCTCAAACTCCACATCCTCCTCAGAATCCTCTTCTCCCATGCCCTGAAACTGAAACTCCAACTCATCCACATCAATCGGATTAGTCATCTGTCCTTTATCCTTCTCCTTACTCACCACTCCCAGCGCATACCCGCCTTCCGCACCCTCATTCCTCACCAGGATATACTCCCGGTTCTGATCGCCCGCCACCCTTGTCGCATTTACCGCCAGCGTCAAATCGAGGCCCGTCATGCCCATCTCGTACATCAGTCTTTGGGTCAGATGATTCCTCTCTTTGACCCTCTCAATCTGAAACCGGCTGAAATCCATTCGGTTAGGGAACATGACGTCCAACTGCTCTTTACTCAATCCCATTCTCAGTCTGCTCCTCAACCTAGCAGCGTTCAAGATATTGTACCGATCAGCCGGCGGCAGAGACTTGAAGAACTCCCCGTCGAAGTCGATCTTGCTGAAATCGTACAAGTTGATATCCTCCCCGTTTTCGAACTGCCTAGCGTACTCTTCCAGCTCTTCGACGGACATGATGCGCGGATCGTCGGGCTTGCCCATGGCTTCGATGCCGCCGTCGAGGTCGGGCAGGTGGTAGGCGTCTTGCTTGTGGAAGCGTCGGGACTTTTGGCGCTCTTGTTTGGACATGCCTAGTTCGTCGGCGTAGACGATTTTGTCCATGTCGGGGAGTTGTTCTTGTTCCTCTTCTTCTGCTGCTGCTGTTGCCGTCCTCTTGCCTTCTCGCGCCTCTGCCCTTTTGCGCCTCCGTTCCTCCTCCTCCTCTGCCATACGATGCATCTGTACCGCTAGTAACTTCCCTGCCGTCCGCGTAGCATCATCGCGTCTTCCCTCCCGTCTACGGCGACGAGCCTGGATGGTGGCGCGCTTGAGAGCGGGGGCGCCGCCGTCGAAGACGAAGACGGGCTTGATGCCGTACCAGAGTAGTTTGCATATTCGACGGAAGAAGCCGACGACGTGGGAGTTGCGAAGGGCGTTGCCTTCTTTGTCGCGGACGGCTTTGAGGAATTGGTAAATCCAGATGGAGGCGTCGATGGCGAGGCGCTTGCGGTTGAGGGTGGAGAGGTTGGTTGGGCGGGCACAGGGTTGGAGGACGGTCCAGAGGCCGTTCACACCCATATTGGGTGGTTATCTGGGGGTTGTGACTTGTCGTGATGGTGATGGTGTTGTTTTTGACGATGCGTGTGGTCGTCAAGGTGCTCAACGAAGGGCGCTGTAAGTCGGGATAAACGCGCTAACGGGGAGTGACGTCAGGGCAAAGGGAGAAGAGACAGGCAGTCGCGATGACCGAACAAGGTGTGATTCTTCACTTTGGTCTTGAGAGAAAACTCATGGCCATGACGAGAAAAGCGCAACGTAAACAATTAGACGAGTGACGACGTGAAGAATTCCAGTGATACGTTCATGATCGAAGCCATGTTGACGGCGATCCGCGCTGCTGCCTGCCGGCTGGTTCTTATCGCTTATCGCGTATTTGTTTATGCGATAAGCCGATGCCTGCCCCACGATGCACTTTCCGAGAACAGGAGCTTGGGCGCCAGGGTTCAATGTGGTCAACAACATCTCATTCCGTTGGACAGTCTCAACCCTGAACATCAACGGAAGTCAACACCGGAAGCTCATGACGGCGCGGGCGCTGAACAGATCAACAACCATCTTCTTAAATCATTCCCACTTGTTCTAGTCAGGCTTCAATAGCTGACTGGCGTCGTTTTGAGAGGCTGATCAAACATCACTTCAAATACTTTAGCCCACGTCATTCATCTATCATCCCATCATCCACTCATCAGTCATCATCCCGGCTGCTCATCTCACTCATTGAAGCCACCTCGGCCAAGGTAGCTTCTCAACCACCAACACGATACATATTCAGAACCACAAACATCATTCACGATGAGCCAAGACCCAAACACCACCTTCCTCCCCGAAGAGAGGGACGACGCCACAGAATGGCTCAACTCGCTCCTCAACAAGAACCTCCGAGTATCCGTTACCGACGGCCGAATGTTCTGGGGCCAGTTCAAGTGCGTTGATGCAGTACGTTCCTCATAACCTCCCCACTTCCCCATATCTCGCTTTCCTCACACTAACACTCACTCCTATAGGAAAGCAACATAATCCTCCACTCAACCTACGAATACCGCTTCCCCACCTCCTCCCAACTGGCTGCCGCCGCCGCGGCCGTTACTTCCTCCCTTTCCCCCTCTTCCGTTGCCCCCTCCTCCACCATCACCTCCTCCTCAGCACTCTCAGCACCCTCAGACCCTTCCCCCTCCTCCTCAGACCCCTCAGCACCCCCAGCACCCTCCTCTTCCTCAAACAACCCCACCCCTACCTCCGTTGATCTCGAACAAGCCTACGACCGCGCCACCTCCTCGGGAAAAATAAAAGTCGACCTCTCCTCGCGCTATCTAGGCTTAGTCGTCATCCCAGGGGAATACATCACGAAAATCGAGCTGGAGGAATTTGCTAGTCAGATTAGGGGTCGTTTGAACAAGGGATTGGGACAGGGGTTTCATACGGGTTGGAGAGATGGTGGGGGGATTTCTTAGGCGGATAATACTTCGAGGATTTGTCGGGGTAGGGATGAGGATGGGGAGGTTGTAGAGTTTTCAGGGAGTGAGGATGGGGATGAGGAGGAGGAGGGGGATGAAGATGGAGATGAGGAGGGGGAGGAGGAGGAGGATGAGGAACAGGATGGACATTCTTCGGGGTCATTTTCTGAGAGTGGTGGTACTTTGGAAGAAGATCAAGGCGAGAAGAACTCAAACAAAAAAAGCTCAGAAGACAAGAACGATGAGAAGGACAATCAAGACACTACCACTACCCCCTCTATACCTAAAGCCCAAGCCCCAACAACCGACGACCCCGCATCCGCCTCCGCGCGAAACCCATCAGAAACAGCAACCGAACTACAAAAGATATGGGGGAAGATGAGGAAACTAAATTGGCAGAAATACCATTGCAAGGAATTGCTGGTGGTGAGACAAGTGTCGCCTGATGAAAGGATGGAGAGGGAGGAGTGGATGAGGAAGAAAAGGGAGGAGTGGGAGAGGAAAAGGAGGAGGGAATGATGTTTGGGGTTGGAATTGGTGGAGATGTTAGAAAGTAAAAAGGTGGAGGTGGAGGAGGAAGGGGAGACGGTTGTTGATACTGAAGAAGGGGAGACTGCGGTGGTGGACGAACAGGAGGCTATCGATGCCGTAACGAAGGATGTCGAAGACCATGATATGGAGATTCAGAAGGAAGGGTATGAGGAGCGTGGGAAGAAATTCAAGGGGAGGGTTTAAAGCACAAAGGCATAGCGTAAGTATGGAATTAGCTTGGGGAGTGTGCAAGACAGCGAGTGAGCAATGAAAAAAAAAGTCAAAAAGAATCGATCCACCCAGGGGTCGAACCTGGAACCTCCTGATTCGTAGTCAGACGCTCTGCCATTGAGCCAGCGGACCTTGTACGATTGATATTGACACATCATTTTCATTTCCGTTATGTAGGTATACTTAGTCCCGTCTTTGTTCAGGTCAAATGTTCTTCGACCACTCCTCAACACCACATCCCGCATATCACGAATGCTAAAACATTTTCACAAAGCGATCCTACGAAAAGCGCTGTAAACAGAGTGGAATTCCTTTTATATTTGATCCCATCCTACTCGCTACTCGCATCTTAGCGTCCGTCGCAATCCCTTCACATCGCGTCACCATCGCCTTTCGTAGGCACGACTTGACACTACGTACGTTAGGTATCTCCTCCATGGTCCCGGGTCCATCGCGTCCATTCGATCATAGATAGGTGTCGACCCAGTCTCTATCAGGATTCCTCCGGAAAGTGACATCCACATTGGGAACCTGACTGTCATCCCTTCATCCCATCCCGTCTTCCATGGGCCGAGTGAAAAGCTCATGGCTGCTCAAGCCACCCAAACACCCAACCACCCATCAAACTAACAGTAAAACAAAATCATAAATGCGAAAAAGAGGAGAGATACGACAAATACAATGAACTCCTGCATCGACACAAACACCGACATGAGAGAAACGAAACGGAAATCAAGCAAGCAAGCCAGAAACGAAAATGTCCCATCGCACAAAACCGGCACAGCGAGCCTGGGCTTTCCAACACCCTCAACCTGACTCTGCCCTTGAGGGAGAGTTAGTCGGGCGGATTTGGCGAGTTGCCTGCCTGGCTGTCACCCCATAACATAATACCACAGCGCAAGAGCAACACGGTTGGTCCCATTGCGGCTTTCCCCCTCTTCTCATTGACAGTGTCGAATAAGGCGAGACTCTGGGAAAGACTATAACAGCCTGACTCGGTGCTGGGTTTTCTCGCGATGGCTTTTTCAAACAAAACGCAGGTATAACGGAGCGGAGATATTCGCTTTTGCGGACAAAATATGAGCAGAGATATATCGCGTATTTCGTTATGCATAACTCCAGTGAAAACACCGATCGGGTGCGAGTCCATATCGTCTCACAGCTCAGTGGCTGGCTGTCCCGGCTTCTCCCATGTACCCCGCAAGCAAAAAAAACCGTGTCGTGTTACGGTGCTCGACACGACTATGTGATGCATAGTGTTCCCCGGATGTCTCTTTTTTGAGCGGCCGCGGCGATTTATCGACTTGTTATGCGTATTTGTGCGTTGTGGAACCGTCGCCCAAGTCTTGGCAAATGCTTATTGCTCGACAGCAGATGAATCCGAGTCGGAATTCCGTCCGACCGGTATGCAATCTTGTGAGAAACCGTCGACTGGTGAGGGAAAGGAAAACTTTCTGCACAGCTGAGCGGCATATGGCTTTGGCTAGCGTGCGGAAGCAGTGCGAGTATCGATCAGACACTCTGAGGGTTGAAGTGGGCGGGCTGTAAAACTATCAGTAAAAGCAATTACCAGACCAACCATTTGAGTAAACTTACAGGACTGTTGAGCATGTTGTTGCGACGGTGTCTACCCTTCTTGATGTGCGTCTTGAGAGCAGCTGAGTCAAGTGGCTTGAGCAGTTCGAAGCTGCACAGAAGCTCGGTAGAAACAGCCATGACAGCTCCCCAGTTGTCAAACTCGCCGCAGTACTGTTACCAAGTTAGTGAAATGCTACATCATACCTCAGAGGGAAATTCACTTACGTTAGGAGCACTGAAGATAGTGACAAGAACGCGATCAGTGTAAAACTCATAACCGTCTTCAACAACCATGTGCGCACGGCAAACAAGGTCGAAATCGTGAGTAGCCAGGAAGTCCGAGATAACCTTCTTTCCGAAACAGTAACTGACACCTCTTTCGTTCGCCTCCCAGTCTTGATCCATGTCGGCTGGATCAGACCAGAGGAGATCGTTGAGCAGTCCGTAGTCGGGAACATCGGTGGGACGAGCAATGTTGCGGATATCGTCCATGTGACCAAGGGCAGGCGAGAGACCGCCGTGAACGCAGAAGATCTTACCAGCAACAATAGCAGCGATAGGGAGACAGTTGAAGGTGTCGACGAAAGTCTTCCAGATCTTGACATTGCACCTGCGCTTGCACTCATCGTAGAAACCGTAAACCCGGGTAACGTTGGCGCATTCGTGGTTTCCGCGGAGGAGGAAGAAGTTCTCGGGGTACTTGAGCTTGTAGCACATCAGAAGCAGGATGGTCTCGAGAGACTGCTTTCCGCGATCAACGTAGTCGCCAAGGAACAAGTAGTTGGAGTGCGGAGGGAAGCCGCACATCTCGAACATGCGAATCAGATCAGTGTACTGGCCGTGGACATCGCCGACAATCTTGACGGGCGCATCCAATTCCAGGAGGGCCGGCTGAGAAAGGAACAACTCCCGAGCGCGGTGGCAAATGGCCACAATCTCGGCATTCTTGAGGCAGACGCTCTTGGTGACCTTTCCAGCATATCCGGCATCCAACAGTCGCTTAATGAAATCATCGAGATCAATATCCTTGATGTCGCTCATGGCAACACCGGAAACCGCCTGCTCATTTTGAGGGTCCTGGTTGGGGGTGTCGTAGACCGGGTTGATGGTGTTCTCGCGCTTCACGAGAATAGACTGGCCGGGCTGTTGGTTGGGGTTGGCTCCGCCACCACCAGAGGGCGGTTGGTCGGAAATGTGGTCAACTTCTCCACTTTCCTGAGCCGCGCGGACATCGTGGCGACCTGTGGCAGCACCGTGAACCGGCGACGGGGGAGGTTGGGATTCACCGGTCGGGGACGCTAGTGTTGCGGTATCGAGCGAAGGTGAAGAGGGGGAAGATGGCGAGGGAGTGACAGGCGAAGGCGACATGTCTCGGCGGTAGCTTGACCGCGTGTTTACCGAAGGCCTTCCATTCTTTCCATTCAAAGCGTTCGTTTTCTCGGCGATTTCCTCGCTGGAGAGGATGGTTGAGTTCCGGGGGCTGTCAGACTTGCTTCCGCCGGGGATTTTTGAGCGGAGTCCGCGAAAAGAGCGCGAGGAGTCCTTGGTGTCGGATTTGCTAAAGGACGGGTAGGACTTGAAGTCGTCATTCTTGGAGGATGCCCCCGCATCTTTGGAGGATGAGTTGCCCATGATTTCTCAGTGTCAGAACGTGGTGTTAGCTCTGGAAAGGAGAAAGTATAGGGGCTGGACGGTGTGCGCGTGTCAGGTTTGTGGTTCCGGCAGAGTCGCCTTTGAATGCCCACACAGCCTACCGCTGCACCCGTCTAGAATCGATGGAGTTGTTTTCGTGGGCGCCCCAGAGTACTAGGGAGGGTGATAGAGTCTATCGAGACAGGAAAGCAGATGGGCGGCGGTGGAAGAACAACGTCCTGATGATTTCTCCGTTTTTGTTGAGACTAGCGGGACTCGGAACGGGTGTGGTAGTCGTTGAGACGTGATTTTGGCTGTTGAGCCACAACTAGTCGCCCCAACTTGCGAACGGCCTCGGCGTTAGGATATATCGGGGGAGTCGTCCGCAATCGAATAGGATACGGAGGAGGGAGCGGAAGAGTCGGAAGGTCTGGGGACGATGATAGGGTTAGAGGATCAGCGTTGCATATTGATAGGAAGGCGTTGATGTCATACAAGCAAAGCGAGAGTGATGCGTAGGTGGACGGCGTGGAGGTTGGTAGGTAGGTAAACGAGGGCGCGGCGATGGAGGAAGAAAAATGAATGATGGAGTGATGATAGGGAGGAAGAGGGGAAACAATGAATGCGGGGGTGGGATGAAAGGGAAGGAAGGGAAAGGGGACTTTTTGTCGTAAGGAAACGTACGAGGGACAGGAGACAAGGCCGAGCAACAGACTTGCCAGTAACCCAGTCTAAGAATCTGCCAAGACTGGACTGGAGGATCAGGATCGAATGGTGGACTTTTTAGGAGTCGTCGCTATCGCTTTTGATTGTTGTGGTTGTTGGGAAAGCGGAACTTGGCGATGGGGAAGTTGGAATCGAGGCCGAGTCTCGCGACGACGTTCGTTGGTGTGGTCGGTCGTGTGGTTCGTGTGGTTTGTGTGTGGTCGGGGGTTGGAGTGCTGAATCGACCGAAGTGGGATCGAGTTGGCACAGCCTGGCTCGACCTGGCAGCGGATGCAGGCGAATGGCGAATTATAGTCGACGGTGTGCCTGGGGCCCTGGATCTGCTGGGTCTGGGGGCGAACCTGGACTGCTTGGAGGAGTCTGGAGGAGATATGTACAACGTGTTTCGACTTGTGTTCCAATTTCCTAGACTAGAGCAAATGGTGAAGACGGCGACGATGACGACGACGATGAGATGATGGCCGATTAAAGGTTTGACCCGAACGGATAAATGTTGGGTCAGAAACCTGCACGACTGACTCGGAGGCTGATTGGATGCCCTTCTTTTTCTGTTGGCGTCCAGATTCCCGACAATGTGGAATGGGAGGAAGTGCAGAGAGCAGATGTGGAAAGAGTGGAAGAGTGGAAAGACTCGTCTTGAAAAAGACTGTATGACGATAGCGGGTCGGCGGGTCGGCGGGTCAGCGGTCGGCGGAGAATGAGGATCAGCGGCAGATGCTGGACAGCGCTAGACGTGTAACGTATTGTAATATGGGCGTATGTACGTATCGGGGACGGGTGACCTCTAGGCCTGTAGGTACCTAGAGGTGTCTCTTTGGGGTTATAGGTTTAGGGTTGGTAGAGAATGAATAAAGTGGGATGGGATTCTTCTCTCTGTCTTTTTTTTTCTGTTCCTCCGAAAAGCAATTGGGCAATTCGGCTTGCTATGGCATAACCTTCCCAGAGAAGGTAGTGTACAGTTATATCCAAAAGTGGAAAGGGTGAACGTGAAAGGGTTGTCACGTTGTCCCCTCTGTCAGGTACGCCCGCAGCAGAGTTGCAGTCAGCGGGTGCCCCGCTGGTAGCTGACAGGAACAATGACTGCACAAAAGTCCGTCGGAGGGTGGCCAGACCTTTTCAAGAAACGACAGGCCAGCCTATCCACAAATGTTTCAATGCCGAGAGTGAAACAAGCCTCAACCAGAGCTCACAAATCCACAATGAATGATTTTGGGATAGGGATCCAGGACGTGATAGCGCTCGTGGGTTGACATGAGAGGCTGAAGACGGGAGGCACAAAGAGCACGTGCTTCGTTTGTGCTTTGCCGTGGACGCGGAGTGCAGTGCAGTCAATGCCTGCAGTGCCCTGTCTGTCGCTGGTGGTCACGGCCGGGAAGTCGAGTGCGAGACTGCCCTTTTGGTGAGGAGCCACGGCAGGGAGCCCAATGGTGGATGCGCGTGGAGGAAGTGGAAGGAAGTGGGGCAAACCTCTTGGAGTGTCAATGTTCCGTCGTGAAGATTTGTGAAAGTTGTGAAAGTGTTTCCAGTTCCAGTTGAAGTTCCAGTTCCGCGGACACAGACTTGGCAGATACGATGGGAGTTCTCCAGATCTCATGCAATGGTGATACGAAGCCGACAAGAAGACAAAGGAGTTTCCCTTGAGGCTCTCCGTCTGTGCCAGTTGTGCACGGATACCGCTGAAACATATCATATCTCGTGGTTGATAACAGTTTGTAACTGTGACGTGAACGCAACCCGTTTCTTTGTTTCCTCTTTCAATTCCAATTATTGTTATTGTTTCTTTCCCTCTTACCTCTACATAACCGACCGAGATACAATTTTTGAGTCAGGGAGTACTGTAGTCACGGAGTCAGGCCCAGGGGAGTCAGAGAGATTGTTACAGGAGCCTAGTGCCCGCCGGGCTGCCGGGGGGACCGGGACACGCTCGCCGGTAGGATCGCGGTGCCTAACGGCGGGGCCCTGTGATGGTTGGGCTCTTTGTCGTCGTCGCGAATGTGAAAATGCGGATTCTTGGTTCATGCGTGTGATATTGGTCGCGAAAGTAATTTGCCAATGTTGATAGTGCACTGGCGAATGCTTGATGCTACGGAGACACCAAGAATTGCCCAGACGGGAATGTCCGGTTTTTGATTCAGGACGAGTCTGGAATATTACACCCAGTAACATGTTCACGAGATTCCTTGGTGTATCATTGTTTTTCGTGGGGGAATACATGAGGGGAAAAGAATGGGGGAGTCGGCATCCAGCATATGCAAATGTCCAGGGAAAGGGAAGACGGAGGTCAGGCCGATTTGCTCGAGGTTAGAAGGTCGGGTGATTGTCTCACTTTGTGCCTGTGAATGTGATAGCGGAACGGTGCCGGTGCCGCTGCCGCTGCCGCCGCTACGGCTGGAGCTCTGCGATGCGACCGTACTTTTTCGATTTGCGGCATCTGATTCAGAAAAACCTTGGGCTCGACGTTCCAGCCCATCGTCGTCACAGCCCAGTGACCAGACAGGAAAGGTCGACGAAGCTCTCTTTAACAACCCAACGGTGGAGTTCCATGGAAACAAATTATAAGTGGAACCAGTTCTCGTCGAGAAGCGAAAGACAACAAGACAAGACAAGGACCGCGTCCGCATCACACTGCCGCTTGCGTTCGGCTGGAATTCCCTGGGTTGAGACAAAGTTCCTGGCAGTCCACATGACCACCTTGGCGGTGAAAGCGACCAGGGCTGGCCATTCTAGCTTCTCCAGAGGTTTGGGGATGGGTTCGAAGGAAGGAAGACGTGGTCACTCGGCACGTCAAGGTTTTCCATGCGTTTTCCTATTTTGGGCAAAGGTTGAGGCCATTGAGAGAAAACGTGTTTACTTTGAGTGGACATGGGTTTGCGACGTGGTGGGTATGTATCGCAACAATTTTTTTTCGTTTTCATTCTCTCATCTCCGCCGGTGTGGTTGATTTCTCGGTAGTCGGTACCTGAACGGCCGATCCAAATTTGAGGAGTCTGGCGGTGGGTGCTTTGCTGTACGTGCTGCCTTAGTTGACAGGCCAGAGCAGTCCGTAACGTGGCTCCTCAGGTTAATGCCCATGTTTCGGACGACGATAGCTTCTTCTGTGGTAGCCGAGCTGGCCGACGACGAGTCGACGAGAAGGTTTTTTACACGAACAATGAGATGAGGAACGGCGAACTCCAGAAAGGCGGGAGTCAGACATGCATGAAAAGGACATCTCGTGAGTAAACAGACTGACATGTGTTTTGTTGTTGACGGTCTGTTGTGATATTGGACCGTCTTTGACATGCAAGACACGTCCGACAGCGGAGTGTCTCAGGTGAGGAACCCCAACCCCTTCGGACACCCGCGCGATGCCGTCGGTGATTACAGCCGGGACACGGAAGAGACGGAGACGGACTTCTTGATCGGCGTCCAAGTGACACACCGGAAGCCGACACGGAACGGCCATGACAAGTGGGACCCGGCGAACCTTTAAAGCCACGCGATTCAGCCGAGCGAGCTGGCAACGGCGCCGAGGTTTCCCACGTTTCACCTCCACCTTGGCCGACACGCCGATAGACAGGGGGTGGCGATCCGAATCCGATATGGTTGAAGATTTGCGGTGCCATTGACGAGTCGGGCGTCGGCAGACGACGAAGGCGGGCAAGTTGACAGTTTGGAAACATTGAAATCCAGAAAACAACCGAAGGCGAATTTTGAACCTGGCGGCCGTGAAGCCCCACTCTTTTCCCGCCGCGTCAGATGGTGGGGCTCGGCCGGTAAATACGGGCAATACGTACACTATACGGAGCACCAGCTCTAAATATAGTGCTGCTGCGCCCCCAAGGCCCCAACCACCAAAAAGCTTCGCTGCCTTACGAACTCCATTCGACCTTGTCACGGACGAACACCCATAACTCAGCCTTCCCGTTTATCCCCAAGTTGAGGACATTCATCCGTTGCCCCTGGCGAGCTTCTTAACGGTGGCTTGGAGCGGAACCAATGGTCGCCTTGGCCGCGGACTTGGTCAGGCTTGGGAGTTGGAAAGGCCCAGACCTGGGCGTCTTGCCATGACTGCCCACTCCAGAGCCCGGCTTTTGTGTCTGGAATCATAAGAGACGGGCGGGCAAGACGGGCTGACGTATGCGTGGTGGTGGCTCATGCCCATACGTGCGAATGGATGAAAGAGATGGGTCGGATGGGTGGTTATCATCCCGTCCCGTCACAAATGCTATACTGATCAATCTGACACAAGGGAAGCATATCAGATCTCAGCCCCATACAACTACAAACGACAGTGGTGAGAACGTGATGGGTGCTGAGGAGGGGTCAACGACGACGACAAGGCCAACCACAGGCCGGGATACTGACGTCTTGACCCAGCATCTTGGGTGCCTGATGGAGGGTTGATAAACCTGAAACTTCAAAGCCCTACGATCAAAATATCAAACAGGTCTTGACCAGCCCTGCCCAGCCCCTCGCTTCGACGTTGACGACGTACGTATGTCCACCATTCGACTCCCGTTCCTCCAAAGGCCACAAGTACTCCACACTGTTGCCAAAAACGGTTCGATGCTCTGCTCTGAAGGATCACGAACATGTTGACTTTCGTGAAAGGAAAACACCCTGTCGGCCGTCACATTTTTGCTTCTTGTGTTCTGTGCAAAGGCTTGGGGTTGTACATAATTTGTTGGCGAGGTCAATAGACATGTCTCCCCGGACACGTGTAGGTGCTTCCAACCTGGAAGCTTTTCCATCCTATTGGGAGGCCGTTCAAGGTATCACGGTATCATTGCGACTGTTACTACAGTGTTCTCGAAGGCATGAGTGGTGCAAGAACTGTCTCGTCCCGACAAACTGGAAACAAGTCAAACAGGTGGAGGGGCGGGGTAATTGCTAAGGCCAAAAGGGTTCACCACTGGGCACTGCACTATCAAAGCTACCTCACCTTGTCCCCTCTCTGCGGTCTTGCCTCTCTAAAAACAGTGTTGGGAACGAAGGCAATGAAAGGGCAACATTGATAAACATGAATCCGCGGAATAAAACCTGATACGTTGACGACGCGTCAGTAAATCATCAGGGACGGTGGCTGCTCAAGACACATTCGTAATGCCCAGCTTGATAACAGTGCGATTAATGGCTTTGACGAGGCAGCTGTTTGCGGTGATGACAGCCAAATCTCTTCAATCTCGCACGGCCCGGGAACTGTGAGCGACACAGGTTCAACTTGTTACTGCGCCACCAGCGGCCGACACAGCCCAGTTGCTTGGTGCCCACAATTGCCCACCAGCTGAAGATCCTTCCAGCTTACCTGCTGTCAGCACCCAACTGACAAACAAACCCGAAAGCATATTTGATGTTTTGATCGCCCTTCTTTTGCTTTGGACTGTTCTCTTCTCTCATCATCTTCCTGTGTATCCACGATTTTCCCTCGAATATCTCAACTCGAGTCGATATCAACAACACAACACTGGCGCGACACCGGAACTCGATTATTACACGGTCTGGAACAATCACTAAAAACACCCCGCCAACAGCCTAACGCACGACACCTAACCCAGCGCGTTTCCCCTCCCCCGCACGACCTGAATAAATACCTCTACCCGACCTTATCAGCCTTACAACGTCACAACCATCCCACGATCCGAACACAGCTACAAGTCGCCGACGGACCGATAACAACAATAAAATGGGTGTCGGTCGCGTAGTCTGTGTGGCCCTGCCATTCCTGCTCACAGTAGCATCGCTTATAGCCCTCCTAGTAGGAGGCCTAGCAGGCGTCGCCGACAAGTCACTCTACATGTTCGACGTCAACCTTTCCAACTTCTCCATCTCGCTCGCCGACGCCAGCAATCTTCTCAACCTAAACGAGTCCGCCATCCGCGATGCCGGCGTCCAGCAGATTTTCGGCAGGGACGCTGTCAGCAAGCGCGATGACGGAGGCATCACCAACCTGACCGCGCCCCTCCTCGGCTTCTACGACGTCTACCAGATCTCCCTCTGGGGCTACTGCTACACGGCCCACAACGGCACGCACGAGTGCACCAAGGCCAAGTTCAACTGGGCCCAGGACGCGCTGAACGGCACCCAGCATGACATCAACTCTCTGCTTACCCTCACGGGCCAGAACATCACCTTGCCGAAGGAGGTCGACGACGCGTTCAAGACATATGTCAAGGCGAGCAAGTGGGCCCAGATCGTCTTCCTCATCGCCCTCGTCTCGCTAGTCGGCGAAATCGTTTTCGGCATCTTCGCCAACTGCTCGCGCGTCGTTTCTTGTCTTACCTGGTTGATCGCCGGCATTGCCGCTGTTGCCGTCTGCGGCTTCGCCGCCCTGGCGACTGGTATCTCCGTCATCGTCGTCGGTGCCGTCGAGACTGTTGCCGGCAAGTACAGCGCCGAAGGCGAGTTCAACAAGCGGTTCATGGTGACGATTTGGGTCGCTGCTGCTTTCGCTTTGGCGTCCGCCTTCTTCTGGATGTTCACTATCTGCTGCTGCGCGCCAAAGACTGGTGGGTCGAGCAGGAGCAGCAGGAGGTCTGTTGGCATGGAGAACGAGAAGCTTATTGGCAGCCCGTATCAGCCGGTTGGTGGGTTCCATGGTGCCAATGGCAATGGTAAGCCGAGCCAGGGCTTTGGTGGTGGGTATCCTAGCCAGCAGCAGCAGTATGCTAAACGCGATACCTCTATGGCTTATGAGCCTTATTCCCACCAGAGGGTTTAAGGGGGTGAGGATGAAGGGTGGAGGGGTGATGGAAGGGCATCTCGGGTGCTGTTATGACTCTCTTAGCGAGCCAAGTTATTTGCTCGCTTTACGACTTCGGGATATCTTTTATGGGTGCATTTCAGGGCGTTTACTCGGGAAAATTTGGAGGAAGACGGGCCATGCATATACAGGACAGCTGCTGTTTGTGTGCCCAAGGTGGATGATGATACCTATTTTCTTTATCGTTATTTAGTTTCGAGCTATAGCCAGGAATGGAGACATCTCGTACAATAGTCCCGAGACATGGCACTGGATTCTCGTGTGATAAGAACATTTTGTTTCTGCCCAACTCAAAACATCCCCACACACACACATATCACGCCTGGTACCACCTCACCTGCTCCAACACACATATGTACGCCCTGCATAACTCAGATCCAACATGTGAGCCCTATGTGCATTTTCATTGCCCCTTTTGCGGCTTACAGCGGGATACACTTCTGCAAGAGGCACATATTCAGAGTCTCGCCTAGCTTGGCATTAACGCCTTTTCGGATGTTTTGCTCCGCCAGTCAGAATCTTGAATGCTCCACTAAAGAGCAAAAGAGTTGCTACAACGCGGGAAGCTTTTACGATTGAGGCCTCCATTGAAGTATTTAGTAGTGTGTGTAACTTGAGCACGGCTGCGGCGGGTATGGTGTTCTGTGAACAGAGAGCAGAGCGCAGAGAGCAGATTAACATTTTACGACGCTGCACGCTGGTTGGACTATTTGCGAATTTGTACACAAGGGACGAAATTTTGGGAAGAAAAGAATAATGGGTTTAAAGGGTTGTTTGCCTGTTACAAACCTTGCGCCGGTACGCTTGATGATATCGAAGTCCATTGCCCTTGTCTGACGAGATCAAAGGAGAGGTATCACGGCCGGGATGATGCAGATGGCTGTCGCCAGCTTCTAGTTTGCCAAGATCACCAATTTAAGTAATACAATGCACCATTCAGTTAGAGCAGTTTCAATTACCCTTCAAGGAGAGATTTTTCGAAGTATGGTGATCTAACCAAGACCAGAAAACTGTTTACGAGTGTGTTCAGGGGGAAACGGCAATTAGGGAGGTGTGAAGGGTTAGGGTTGAAGCGCACAAAAAAAATGGAGTCACTTGTTTCACTTGGGAATTTCCTCACCCGAGGTGGATTGGTTGCTCCTTCCAGAGGACATCAAGGTACCTATACAGCACAAACCCCCAAGGATGGATAGCTGAGATTATTTGAATCGAAATCAACCTAGCCGACCACCCGGACACTCCAGTCCAACACAGCCCAATATGGCTCAAAACGTGCGTCAACACTTTTTGCCCAGTGCAAGAACGGAACTTATCACTCACCTCACCCTCACTTCCGTCCACAACCCACACTAACACCCCCCACAGACAGACTTTCTCACTTCAAAGCTTCCCACCAAGCTCCAACACAACTTCGTCCTAAACCCCATCACAGCCCTCGCCTTCTACCACTCCCCCGATTCACGCGTCTTCGTCCTCGCAGCCGAAGACAGCTGGCTGAAAATCTACGACGTCGCCACCTCCCGTCTGGTATCGCAGATCAAAGTCTTTTACTCGCAGCCTATTCACGGTCTTTACGTTTCCCAATTACCACCTTTATCTTCATCCACATCAGCGTCAGCAGCAGGAGAGGATGATGAACCACGGGTGCTGATTTGGGGCGCCAACTCCGTCGCTGTCATTCCTCAATCTACTCTTGACAAGCTGGTGAGGGGGGAGAGCAGTGATGTGGAAGGGGTGAAAGAGGAGAAGGCGGCGGATTGGATTTATGATGGGATTTTGTTCCGGCCGGATGTCTCAAAGGGCGGAGAGGGAGAGGGAGGGGGGAAGGTGCAAGGAGCATTGGTGACGGCTCATAATGAGGTTGTGCCTCTTTCTATCCAAGGAGGGAGCGAGTCGTCACAGAAGATTACCTTTGGTCCGTTGACCTCGCCGTCACGACCGATTCTGTACTCGGCGAATCTCTGTTTGTTGGATGACGAGAACACGATTCTGGTGGCGGGAGGTACCGTGTTTGGCGAGATTGTCGTCTGGAAGTATTACCTTGATGGGAGAGGGGAGGCAAAGAAGTTCGAAGTCCTCTACGTCTTTACCGGCCATGAGGGATCCATCTTCGGTGTTTCCATCTCTCCCGAGATTTACCTTTCTAGCGGCGGCGAGAAGATCAGACTCCTAGCCAGCTGCAGCGATGATCGGGCGGTGCGGATATGGGATATTACCGACTCCTCGCCGAAGGAGCTTCTTACTTCTGCTGCTGCCACGAATGGTTGCTCTAGCGAGAATGATCACTCCAAGAAGGCCTTGGCAGAAGCGAGAGAGACCGGCTTCGGCGGCACCAACAACTCGGAAGTCAAACTCGAAAACCAAAACGACAAGGCGAGATGTCTCGCTGTGGCTATGGGTCACGTATCGAGGATTTGGCAGGTGCGGTTCACCGGGAGGACGCAGCATGGAGATGGAAGTCCGATTGAGGTCCACTCGTTTGGTGAGGACGCTACGAGGCAGAGGTGGGATTTAACACTGGATCAGGCGAAGTGGAAGGAGGCGTTGGAGAGGGGGTACGGTGGTGAACAAGACACTGCTGGGTCTTTCGGCACGCTGAAGAATTGCGGTGTTGTGAGTTGTCACAATGGCAAGAATATGTGGTCGACGGCTGTGTCGGGGGGTGATGGGCTGCCGACGTTGATTGCGACGGGAGGAGCGGATGGGAGGATTACGATGGCTGGGGATCAAGCGGTGGTTAAGGGGGCGGAAACGTACGGGGATATTGACGTTACGCTTACGGTTGAGGATGTTATGAAGGTCGCTGAGGGGGTTGAAGAGGACTCGACCGCCCCTGTGGAAGGGCAAAAGAAGAACACGACGAAGAATGGGTTCCAGCGGTATGCGTTTCTGTCTGAGAACACGCTTCTCGCTACGACGTCTTCTGGCAGGCTCTTACACGGAACAGTAGGCGAGGGTCTGACATGGAAGAATGTTCACCTTTCGGAGACTGTCCTTGCCGACCTCAAATCTTACTACGTCGTCAAGAGCCCGGTAGAGGGGACCGCAATCCTCGGCAGCTCCAGCGGAAAAGTCTACCTCTTCCTTGAAGATGGTTACGAGATCAAGGAGCTACATACCTTCCCCGGCAAGATCTCCGACATCCTCCTCATCGAAGGCGCCCAAGAGACTCTGCACAAAGAACAACCCGGCGCCTGGACAGTAATCATCACCGTCCTCGGCCTTGACCACGCCCTCCTCATGACCTTCGAACCCTCCACCTCCTCCGTCACCGTCGATCCGCGCAAGATCCACCTCTCCAGCGACGACGTAAACCCCTTCATCGCCACCGCCGCCGGCTTCTGCGGTTCCAAACTCATCCTCGGCTCTCGCGTCGGCGCTGTGGCCGTTTACAAATCCACCTCCGACGACGCTTACACCCTCGATTACTCCCGCAAAGACGCGCGCACCAAAGACGCAGTCACTTGCATCGTTCCCCTACCGGGTAGTAAGACCTCCTTCCTCACTGGCTGTCGCGATGGTCGGTATAGGATATACACCCTCACCTCTACCCCTTCTGATTCAACCACATTGCATCTCCAACACGAAATCTCCCCTCCCCTCGGTATGATCGAAGGCGCCCGCTTCACCAAGACGAGGAGCACAGGCATCGACCTCATCATCCACGGCTTCCGCGGCAAGAACTTTGTCGTCTGGAGCGAGTCCACCCGTCAAGAGCTCACAACCGTCGAATGCGGCGGCGGCCACCGGGCTTTTGACGTCGTTTTTCCTTCGTCTGGCTCTGCTCCCGGCCCATTGCGGTTTGTATTCACCAAAGCCTCCGCTTTGCGGTTCTACAGCCAATCCTCGCCTCCGCTGCGCACCCTCAAAGAAGGAGGGCACGGAAGGGAGTTAAGAGCTGTTGCTGCTTCTTACTCACCAGATGGACAACAAGTGGGGAGGTACTTGGCTACTGCGGCGGAAGATACGACTATTCGACTGTGGCAGTATGCTGAGAAGAAGGAAATAACAGAAAGGGGGTTCAAACCGCTGGCGATACTGGAAAAACACAGTGCTGGTATCCAAGCCATGAAGTGGTTTGGCGAATCGCATTTGTTGAGTAGTGCGGGGAATGAAGAGTTTTTCGTGTGGAGGATCACCAAACTCGAATCAGACTACGAGGCGTTGGCGGTGGTTTGCGAGAGTAAATACCCGGATCGGTCAGCGGATGGGGATTTGCGGATTGTCGACTTTGACGTTCAAGAAGCTTGGGGGGATGGGGATGATGGGCAAGCGATGATGCTTATCAGCTTGGCGCTAAGTAACTCCACGCTCAAGAGCTACCTCTACTCGACTGAGACTCAACAGTGGAAGTTACTAGCCGAGGGCCGGTACACGGGTGCTTGTCTGACGCAGATTAGGCACTTGCGCGTCGCGGGCGGAGATATCCAGGTCCTAACGGCATCGACAGACGGTCACATGGCAGTTTGGTCTGCTGCTGCTGCTGTTTCTTCTACCTCAACCACCGAGACCGAGAAGGCGGAATACCAGATGGTTGCCCTGGCTAAGGTCCATCAGAGCAGTATCAAGGGTCTTGATCTTTCTTCACCACGCTCTTCGTCATCGGGTCAGAGCTGGTTGGTCATTACAGGCGGTGATGACAATGCCGTCCACTTCACAAACCTTCAGTATTCTTCTGCCGACAACACATACAAGGTGTTGAGCAGGTCCAGAGTTAAGGATGCGCATGCCGCTGGTGTGACGGGCATTTGTACCGTTAGAGAGGACGGTGAAGCGGTAGAGGTGGCTAGTATCAGCAATGACCAGCGAGTGAAGCTTTGGCGGGCGGTATGGAAGGAGGGAAGCGAAGAGCCGGTCAAGGTGACGCTGTTGGATAACCAGTATAGCTCGGTGGCGGATGCTGGGGATGTGGAGGTTATCAAGGAGGGGAGGTTGATGGTTGGTGGAGTGGGGATGGAGGTTTGGGATTTTGGTGCCTAGCAAACGAAAGCAGGTTTAGATAAAAGCGTATGTTAGAGTATTGATGTTGACAAGCAATGTTGAAAAGCACTTAAATCTGAAGCCAGGCTGAAGTCTCTCTGCGTTTCGTGTTGTCATCTCTGCTCGAGTTCGGTAGGACCCATTGTCGACTTATACGCTGTAGCGCTAACAGCAAAATGGGCTGTGTGAGGCCCATTTCCACCAAGCAAGATCTTCGCAGTGTAAAAGAAGGTCACCAAAAGTTGTCAGAAAAGGGGTAATGAGTGATACAAAGAGCTTGTCAGAATTAGTTCCTATCTCCTCAAGTTAAACGTTTGAAAGTTCAAGACACAGTTAAGGGACCGCTGAAGTGATGGCCTTCAGGGCCTGTTGCTGTCGTTTGAACTGCCCCACCTTTTAGCATCGCCATCCAATCAAAAACCGATAAACAAATTCCTCAAAATCCGGGGTTGCGCACGGCCCACTCTGCTTTTGCGGGCCGGGCTGGGCGTCCGTCCGATTTGACGGGCATTTTTGAGCTCCATACCGCGACCGTCGGTCGTCTGTCCACCTTCGCAGTCCCGCGAACCCGCCTGCCCGCCTAGCCGGCTCCGTTCACTCACTTCGATCGACCGAGTGTGGTGTCGTCGTCCAACCACCACCGCCCTACCAAAACACCACAACAACCACCGACCATGAACCGTCAGGTGGTTACCTCTACCCTGGGCCGGCGGGGCGCCCTCGTCGACTGCTGCACCCGCGCCAGCAGCAGCATCCTCAACACCACCCAGCGTCCCTTCTCCACCACCACCACCCGATGCGCCGAAGACGATAAGCCCAGCGCCAGCAAGTCCGCCGCCGCCCCTCGCGCCCCCGGCCCCGTCAGCGCCAGCCGCCAAAAGTCCGAAGCCGCCGTCGGCAAGCTCACCCAGCTTCGCGGATCCTTCACGTCTCTGAGCAACGACAACTCCTTCCACAAGGCTCCTCCCGCCGGTGCTGGTGGTGCCCGCGACGCCCGCCGTCCCGCCGCCGCCCCCATTGGCAAGGGCGCTAAGGATGCCGTCGCTCCCCTCGGTGCTTCTGGCGCGCCCAAGGTCATCAACGTCCGCAGTCTCAAGGGCACCCTCGGAGGCTCGCGCGGCCGCTTCGCTCCCGGCGGCGGCAACGTCCCCGGCGCCGTTGCGCCCGGTGCTGCGCTCCGTCCTCGCTTTGGCGGCGCTGGTCCTAGATCCGCTGGTGCTGGTCCTGGCGGTGCCCCCGGTCGTCCGCGCTTCGGTGCCCCCGGTGGACCTGGTGCCCGTGCCGGTGCTGGAGCTGGTGCGCCCGGTGGTGCTGGTGCTCGCAGACCTGGCTTTGCAGCGAGGAGGCCACGACCGGCCGGCGGCGAGAAGAAGTTCAGGGGCGAAGACTACGACGCGCCGCCGACCGAAGAAGAGAAGGAGTTCATCCGCGGATTGGAGCAAGGCAAAGTAACCGAGTATGTGCCCAAGCTGACTCCCGACACGTTGTTGGGGTACGGCCCGCCGATGGCCACGGACGTCAACCTCGGCAAGGTCGAGTCCGCGCTGCGAACGATGCGTATTCTCGGTGGTGGTCTGCCGTTCAACGACCAGTCCGGCGTGACGAGCGATCCCACGGCCGTCAAGCACCGGTACGTGCACGAGAAGAAGCCCGTGTTCTTCAGCAGTGTGGAGGAGAAGGAGTGGTTGAGCGAGTCGCTCGATAAGTTTGCGGTTTCCCAGGGCCCGGAGAAGAAGACCAAGATGCAGATCTTGGAGACGTCGGTGCTGGGCAAGTATGAAAGCCCCAAGTATGTGGAGAGTCTGACGGATACGGTGGCCATGGTGGAGAAGTACCAGGGGGGAACGTTTAGCTATGCGCCGTCGGATGCGGTCAAGTTTAAGGCCAGGTTGAACGCGTTGCTTGCGGCTGGTCAGCCGAGGGCGGCGCCTCCTGCGCAGGCTCAGAAGAAGGCTTGAGTCCGGGGTAGCCTCGTTTGGGAAGGGGAAGGGAGGGGAGTGATATGTAAAAACAGATAGAGGACTGGGGATAGATTGGTCCAGCTGTAACATTATGAATACCCGTATCGACCGTCCTCGTGTACCCTGGAGAAAGGGTAGTGGCTGTAAAAGTATTGTATAGTATCTTGGCCTTCGCGTCTTGGTTCGAGCTCAAGTCATGACATGACGTTGGGACCTGGAAAGCCATGTTACTCTTGCAGTTTGGCCTGCTCTTCCATCCGGTTCACTATGCGAACCTTAGAAAGCAACCCCCCAAAAACGGACGGATAACAGGTTTCATGGATGTTCTTGTCTTGTGTGGACCATTCACGGTGTATGGTGGACTGCGCAAAGCCCATCATTGCCTTCTAATTCCACACAGACATGATGAAATTCTCCCGAGGGACTGTTCATATCAAATTCAGGGACCGCATGCAACTACAGTAAAGCCAATGGTATTCCGACTCCGGGGGCATCGCAGGGTAATCCGTCCCAACAATGCCCTCAACCATAATACAAAGATAGTAATACAAACAAGAAGACACCCACCCATCCTCACACCTACTTCCTAGCCATCACCGCATTACAAACCTCCTTCTCCCTCGCCGCCACCCCCTTCATCCTATCATCCTGCATCTTCTGCACCTTCCCCTTCAACGCCTTCACATCATCCTCCAGAATCGCCTCCTGCTGCTTCCACTTCTTATGCAGCGCCTCGCGCCTATGGCTCTCCGCCCTCAGTTTATCCCTCCACTGCTGACACAACTCCTTGACCCTCTTCTGCAGATCCTCCGCCCGTTCCGGCTCCACCGTAATCGTTAGCTCGAGGGGGTTCTCCTCGCTCCTTTGCGGCTGCTGGTTGAAATCGGGAGACTTCTGCACAGCACTCATGATGGGCTTGACAGAGGCCTCGTCAAAACAAAGAATCGACCATTTGCGTCCCGAACCGGACACCTGCGCGACGGTGGCCAGGTCGCGCAACGGGTAGCTTAGCGAGGTGTCCTTCTTGTCCGGGAAGACGGGCAGGGCGCCGATGGAGTCGGCGCTGAAGCGCGAGCCGTTGCGGAACGTCTTGAGACTGTCCAGGTAGTGCTTGTCGGCGCGGTCGAAGGCGTAGGTCAGGTCGGATAGGTCGTAGGGGGTTTCGGCGGAGGGGACGGGGCGGTTGGGGTCTTTGGGTTCGTTTGACGACTCTTCGGCGGCGGCGGGAGTGTTGTCTTTGCCGGAGGAGCTCTTGCCGGACTTTTTGTCCTTCTTGCTACTACCGCCGCCGCGGGCGGGCTGCTGCTCTTCAACTTCCTCGCCGCGCTTGGACTTCTTGTCCTTCTTGCCCGGGCGGATGGGGGTTGTCGAGAAAGGGCGGACGGCCAGTTGGCTCTGGGAAAGGGTCGCGTGCGGGGTGAGGAGGCATTGGCAGGCGGGAGGGCCGGAGGCGGCTACTAGAGGGGCGGCGCTGTGGTGATTTGTTTTGTTAGCTGTGGAGAGGAAAGTAAACAAATGGTGTTTTGAAGTGATGATGGTGGGGTCGACGAACCGGGAGATGGCATTGGAGGCCGCGGAGTTGGTGCGCAGGAGCGCATTGGCGGCGCGGAAGGACTTCATGGTGGGAAACTGGTGAAGGATGGTGTTTGCCCGAGAAATTGTTGAGTTGAGAGTTTGTTGCGAAGCAATGGTGAAGCTTCGTGAACCGTGATGGTCTTGGAGCTTGTTCGAGCTTGACCCCACCCCGCTGTTTCAAGAGCTGAAGTTCGCGCCAATGCCGGCTGGGGAGGTGGTTCCGGCAATGTCTGCCGGGGTACCCTTGTCTTTAGTGCTTATAAGATGCTGTTAGGGTATAGTTATCAATAACGGTTGCGTGGCCCAGTGGTTAAGGCATCTGCTTTACATCGTAATCGCAGAGGATCGCAGGTTCGAGCCCTGCCGCGATCATTACTTTTTGTGTTTTTCTTTATCACTTCCGATGATTCAAAGTTGTTCAACATCTGAAGCTACTACTATCATGGAGTCATCCTCTTTTTGGCCTTCTCGAAAGCTCAAGCCTTATCTTTTGCCCTTTTAGTCTTGTTCGCATCCACTCAAATATCAGTTCAATTGAGGTTTCAAGTTGATCTTTAATGTCAATCAATGGCTTCCGTTCGGCTTCAAGATCCAAAGTCACTTGGCGGTTCTTTCCTGAATTGAACATGGAGAGATCTTGCGGCTCTTGATTGATCTTGACGGCCGAGAAATATGACCCTATGTTTTCAACTTTATTTGTACATGTAGTCTGCTTCACATGAATAGTTATGCAAATCCTTCATCTGACAAGTATCTGGTACACCATCACTTGGATACAACAACCAGGTCTTTCGTGACCTCTATCTAGTGAAGGTTGTCCTGTTGTTGAATGTTGATGATCTGTTCTTCTGACATCTCTTGGTAATATTTGGTATTCACTTCTTGATTCAAGGAAGACCCGACAGCATTCACACTTCACAGCAAACACCGAATGTGATATCACGAAACTGGGAATAATGATACATAGAAAGCTATCACCTAGGAATGAGCATAACCATAGCGCAATCATTAAACTACCGTTGTCCATTCCATCCCATGCCTGTCCTTCTTCTCCTTGTTTCAGAGCTATCTCACAGTCACCCACCTTAGGGTCATACCATCCGATCCAAAACCCAAACCTAAACCTTATCATTACCAATTATGCAGACTATAACCTGCCTGCGCGCATCTGCCCGTTCCATTTTAGGTCCGAGCAAATGAAGAAGAGTAGAGGTATAAAGAGTGTCGCTTAAAGAATTCTGCCCACCCATCCCAGCTCCAGGTTCCAGTGGTTTTTCTGTTCGTTTTGCGTTTGAGGATTTGTTGCTGTTGCCGAGTTTCGTGCATGCATACCTGGGGTTCTGAGAAACCAAAGTCATCTCCGACACTCCTCTTGGTTGATCGACCATCAGCATCAGCAGAACTGCCCCGGACCCGCACCCCGCAGCCACCCATCACCGCCCCTTTCAGGCAGCAACAGGCTCCTGGTTTCTCCCACGTTGATGATGTCCGCTCTCGCCATCCAGCAAAGAGCTGCCCGGCGCATCAATATCATCCTCCTCATCCTCATCATCATCCTCCTCTTCCTCCGACACATCATAGTCCTCCGCCACCTCCTTGTGCTGATTCGCCGGCACCCACGAGTCCCGATCATTAAGCGGGGCATCCTGGCCCGACAGATCATGTCCCTGTCCCGCGCCGCCTTCGGTCCTCGCCTTGATGTTATTCCTCCTCCGCTGGCTCAGCGTCCTCGAGCGGGTCGACAACTTTGCTGAAACGGCCGCGTTCTGCGTGACCCAGTTTGTAAGGGAGTTCTCGCAGTCCTGGATGATGGCCTTGGAGGCTTCGTAGCCGTCGTAAGCGGGGCGGGTCTCGCCAGGGGTGACGGGGGTGTCGTCGATGAGTTCCAGGAGGTGCTTGCCGTAACCGGCGATGATGGCGACTTTTTCGCAGTGCTCGCGCAGAGCGTCGAACTGGTAGGTGTAGGCGGCCTTGATCTTCTCACGCGTAATGTTGGAGAGCTGGGCTTCGGCGACGAGCGACTCGGCTTCGGCCCTAACGAGTTCCTGTTCGAGAACAACGATGCGCGGGGAGTTGGGCTCTTTGTACTTGAGCTGGGCGATTTGGTCGGTGATTTTTTGCTTTCCTCGTGGGGTGTTAGTGTTGAAGAGTATTAAGAGTTGGGACAATAGGGGGCACCTACTGTCTCTGCTGGGCTGCACCGAAGCCTCGATATTCCTAATACTCTTCATGGTGACGCGGTACTGGTCGTAGCGATCGACGTACTGATCCTCGAGTTCGCCGATTTCGTAGAGCAACACACCCAGCTTGTCTGTAACATCGGAAACATCCTCATCGCAGGCCTCGCCCCAGAGGGAGAGCTGTTGGGCGACCTCCATGCGCTCCTTGGCCACCATCTCCAAACTACGCATCACGTTCTTCTCCATCTTGACCAGCTGGGAGAGCTTCTTGGCGAGATCGGGCCCAAAGGCGCCGGCGGCGTTGCGTCGTAGAGCATGTCCTAGCCCTCCTGTTAACGTTCACACAGGGCATGAGCCGTGCTGCTCGACTTGACTTTTTATGTTGCGCAAAAGAAACAGGAGGGGACAAACTCACCAATTCCGCCGCGACCAAAGAGACGTCCCGACTTTGTGGATGATGGCGGTGGAGGGGGGTTCTGGATCTGAGAGGCGGTTGGCGCCCTGGAGGCGCGCATAGAGTAGGTTCGATGCATGGTGAATTAGGTTTTGTCTGGTATTTACGGGGATGATGGGGTATCAATTGTCGTCGAGGTTTTGAAGTCGTCGATCACAAGGTGGTGTGATTTGGTGTGGTGAGATGTTGATGTTGATGTAGGACAATTCGGTAAGTTGACGGTGTGAGTCGGGGGGTTCTTTCGGTTGGATTATTTGGGCGGTAAGCACCTTGTCAGGGCAATGTTGGTGGATGAGGTCTCGAGGGTTGGAATCCAAATGGCGGACGGGAAGAGAGTTGGTGGAATGAAACGGGAAAGGAAAACCAATGAAGTGATTCGGGAGCAGGATTTCCTTTTCTAATCAACGCGACGGGCGTTCGTCTGGCCTTTTTGATGAAAAGCCCAGACAAGTTCGTTCCAGTTCTGGGCTCTCGAACCGTCGATGCTCGTGCCGGCAGATCCCAGGCCAAGATGACGTCGGTGTGCAACCTCTACAGAAGGCGGCACTGCAAAACGTCTAAGCTCACTTTCCCCTATCGAGAAGATGACAGGGGGGTTGCCACCAAAAGGGGACGTCCCCACTCGTCATCGACAGTGCGGCTGCCCTAACAATTACCTGCATCGGGTTTGCACTCACTCCGCAGTCTCCGGGCAATGTGATGATCATCACGCTTTCATGTGCATTTCAGGTCATTCTCACAGTTGGACTTGAGTGAAATTGTCATTCAAAAATCCCAACTTCAGTTAAGATCAAGGAAAGGTGCCATGGTTTAGAGCAATCTCTAGCTAGGTGGACAACTCACTGTCTCCCTTGACATGTTGAATGTTTCCGAATCCCGACACATGGAGTACGGAGCTGCCATATGGACACCGGGATAAACGGTGTTTGCTTAGGGAAATCCCGTTCCCTGATTCGGATCATGAGAAGATCATACAGGAGAGGAAACCTCATAGAGAAACATATGACTATCCATATACTCTAAAGAGATTTCGCCGAGGCAAGTCGATGGCCAACCTGGAATGTCTTGGGACGGAATCGGTTTCTTTGTTACTGTTAGCGCCATATAGTGTTAGTCCGGAGACGGAAGATGACGTTGGTCCATCACTCATCCCGCCGACGTACATCTCACTAACCAAAGTCAACGCCGTCATCACCGACTCCGACTGAACCGGTTGTGAATGGCTTTTTTCTTGATTGGGATTGATGTAAAAGCCAAAAAGGAAAGAAGACAATATACAATTGAATGCCAAGCCAAGCTATGGACCCTTTAAAGTCACTCTAACAATTCACCTCCAACAATGTCCAACAATATGAGATCAAATGCTCGATAGGGACCGAGGCTATTTGCTTGTAAGTGAGAAGAGAAAAGCATATCGGTTATCTCATATAATGGGTAGAGAACTCTTCAGATAAATCAAAATGGAAGACCATAGTGGTACAATGTTAAGAGGGCGTAGACACTTGCCCTAGATACGCAAACCCTAACCCTATAGTCACTACCGCCTACCCAATTCAACATGGCTCGTGCACTGAAATGGCAGACCCTCACTCATAACCCTCAAGGTTCACTGACCTTCACTCTACGATTTCAACTCTTGCTACTGGTCAGACTGTCTTGAATCGCGTCGCAACAACCTCACGCGTCTTATCCATCATCACCTTTATCGACGACAACCAGGCCAATTACAAACTCCATTTTTCAAACCGGCAACAGGATTACCGAGGATTATCTGATGCGATCGCAAAAATCAATCGGCCAATCTGAGACTGAAATGAGAAAATCGACCGTTCGGAGGACGGCGACAAGTCTTTAGGGGTGAACGAAAAATTCACAGCTTGAAGTTTGGTTGAATGCATCCCGGTCGGTTGGCAACTCACCAGACTGGGATCAGAGGGGGCGTTGTTGGTACGGGTCTGCAACACCAAAGAAACTTCACCTAGCGGAAAGCTGAAGCGATGCCAGTGCCCGAGCCATTTTCATTGGCTGATCGTTTCACCGATGAATCGTCCAAGGATGCCAGCTCCAGCAGTTCGGACGACGAGGATGATGGCGTGGAGGTCGTTGCAGCGGTGGTCAGAGCAAACGCTCCAACAGAGGGCATCACTTTCAATGGCTCTATCCACTACCGAGAAGACTTGAATCCCAGTCTTGGCAGAGGCAGAGGTTTGCTGTGGAAACGGCCGACGATAATACCGAGACAGCCGTCCCCAGTGGAAATCATCATCCAAAAAAGTCACTCGCCTGTCAGAAAGTCATCATCACCGGCAAAGACAACGACCTCCACCAGCAACCACGGAACCAAGACCAACAACACCGGGACTGGCAGCGGCAGTGTTAGTGGCATTGGTGAGGGCAGCAGCAAAGTCAACAACAGAAGCACTAGTGACAGTAAAAAGACCACATGCAGCCCCAATAAAGATACCATTAACGACCGCGAGGCTATGAGGCCACCTTCGACTCAACCCAAGCCTATACTGAAGACTATGTCATCAGTTCCCGGAAAACCTCCAGCTCGAGTTCAGGATGAAGAGCCCAGGAGACCGCAGCCCATATTTGGACCTGCTAGGAATCCTACTAGAGTCACAGAAGGAGGACATATGATATCGGCTTCCCAGAGACAGTCATCAAAGCCTATAGCCGAGAGCATTTTCAAGGCCCCTTCACAAACCGCTCCCAAAGCTGCACCTAATCGACACCAAAATACCCAGTCGAGGTATCCACAGTCCCAACCACAAGCACACAACCCTTCATCTTCCATCTCATCTCAGGCTTCTTTCAGAACCTCCTCACAGACAGCTCCCGGTCAGGTTCAGGGGCAGCGCCATAGTACAACGCAAGTCCCTGTGCCCAGTAGTGTGTTCAAGCCTCCGTATCAGCCCCCTAGGCAACCAAGCTCTCAAGCACCTCCCGGGCATGTCCAAAGAGAAACGAGGATACCGCCGCCCAATGTAGGCAAGAACATATTCAACGCTCCATCCAGACCCTCTTTTCAACCTGCATCCCAGCAAACTTCTAGTCAGGTTAATGATCCTCAACCGAGAAATCAGCAACCTTATCCTACCAACAATGTTTCCAAGGCCCCCCCTCAACCACTGGTTAGACCAGCTGTTCAACCTCATAGGTCTGGGTTACTGCTATCACAACCGACACTGTCTCGGTTATCACAGCCGCAATCATCAGGAGCTAGGATACCTCAGTCACAGCCATCAGGGCCCGATATCCCACAACCGTTGGCGTCCACGATATTACCACCACAACCACAATCACCTCCACAGCCACAACCGCAAATGTCAACCTCCGAATTCATTGCACAACATCCAGCTTCAGCTTCGGCAGCCTCTATCTCAAGTGAAGTTAGTTTTCAGAAAGCTCCGGCCACCCAGCCTCCTGAGGCTCCAAATTTGACAGTACAAGACATAGAGTCCAAGCTCGAGTCCTTTAATGCCACTGTAGGCGAAGACCATGCTCGTTATGTTGAATACCTACTCGATGAGGCCGAACAAATGGCCCCAGAGCCAAAGCATCTAAGCGACTTTGATGTCTTCGCTGACATGCCAGCCCTAGGCGCTCCTGCTACTACTTCCGACGCCGCTTCTGTCTTGGACGGCGGGGTGGAAACCATGGCGTTCAAACTCAAGCTTCACCACGGTGACAATGGAAAGCCCAAGGCCCCCACCAAGGCTTTCAAGTGCCCGGTCGTCAAGATCAAGACCGACAAGGAGGTTGTCCCCAAATACAGGTTTCATCACACTGAGATCAAGAAGAACATCTTGGTTCCAAATACAATGCTCACCTTTGTTCCTCACCTCCGGGACGTGGATCCAGACTCAGTGGACGAGAGAGATTACATCAACTGGCTCAATGAATTGGACAAGTTAGACACTCAGTCTGGATTCAAGACCGAAAACAGGCAACAGAAGCATAATAAGCGTATCCGGGATGAATCTACCGCCACACTCTCCATGTACATTGAGCCATGGCTCAAGCAACTAGGTCTTGATGTTGTTTGTACCAGACCGACGCTGATCCGCTACATGTTGAGCCAGGAGGAAAACAAAGCACACATCACACAACAGCAAAAGGACGCCCTTCTCAATACCTACAAGGACGATGCCATTTTGTCGCCAAAGGCCGTGGAGGCGGCACGGATCTTTACCCTGGCATTTAACAACGTGTTCGGAAACAACACCGACCCGGAGCGTTCCATTACCCTTCGGGATGTCCTACTCCTCGAAAAGCGTGAGACCGTCGTCGACGAGAAGCGTGCAAAAGAGACACCCCCTCCAGCCAATCCTCAACGTGACCAATCAGACAGCAACGGCCTGCTGCCAAAAGTCGAGGCCTCGCTTTCAAGTTACGCGGTTCTGGGCTGCAACGTCTGCTTCAGCCACGACTGCGAGCATGGTGACATCGACGCCCACAACTACCACCGGACATTTTCCCTTGATAGCGTTGGCGGTGTCATCCGGGCTCTCAAGCGGAAGTGGGCCGACCAAGTCGCCTCCATGGGCGGCGACGAGGAAGCTGTGGCAGCAGCCTCCAAAAAGGCTCTTCACCTCCCTTGTCACAACGCCTGCTACCGGCACTACGACGTTGGTCCTGCTGCCGCCCCCGTCACCCCCTGGGCTAACAGCGAAGTCTCTGTCTTGGAGGATATGTTTTTCAGTGTCGGACACAGTCAGACCCTCAAGGCTCAATGCGTAGTGGCTTCAGTCCTAGGCCGCAAATGCTGGGAAGTCTACCGCAAGATCAACGAACTCGGCCTCTCACTCCCCCACGTCTCACCACCTCGCCCCAAAACCAACCCCAAGGGCGGACCCCCAGCCAAAGTGAAATCCCTCTCATGGTACGACCGCCGGAAGAAATGTCTTATCGGTGACTGGCAAGACCAAACCGCGACGCACGAGCACTCCATCCGCGAGATCACCGAACCGTGCCATCACGACGGTCCCTGCACCAAAGACAACCGGGCCTGTCCTTGCGCCAACGCCTCTCCCCGTCCTTTACTCTGTGATCGGTTCTGCCAGTGCACGGTAGACGAGTGCGCCCTCAAGTTTACCGGTTGCGCGTGTCACTCGACGGGCAAGACTTGTATTCAAAGGCAGAAGGAAGGAAAACCATGTATCTGCATCATGCTCAATCGTGAATGCGACCCCGTCGTGTGCAAGGGGTGTGGAGCGAAAGAAAGGGGAGATCCGGACAACGCTCATGATGAGGCTTTGCATTCGACGGGGTGTCAGAATGTTAGTCTTCAGCGCGGCGCCTCGAAAACCGTTCTGCTTGGCAAGTCCCAGCTCGAAGGATGCGGCTACGGCCTCTTCACTGCCGAAGACATTTCCCAAGACGAGTTCGTGATCGAGTACACCGGCGAGCTGATCACGCACGACGAAGGTGTGCGTCGGGAAGCTCGTCGCGGAGAAGGGTTTGGGTCCCAGGGGACTAGTTCGTATCTGTTCACGCTACTGGAGCACGAAGGCATCTGGGTCGACGCGGCCATGTACGGCAATCTATCACGGTACATCAACCATGCCTCGGAAAGCGACAAGAAGGCGTGCAACATCACACCCAAAATCGTGTACGTGAACAATGAGTACCGCATCAAGTTCACCGCGCTTCGGGATATCAAGGCGGGCGAAGAGCTCTTCTTCAACTACGGCGACAACTTTCCGAACCTCACCAAGAAGCTGCTTCAAGATCAAGATGGAGATGGGGAGGACAATGGTGCCGCTACTAGCAAGACCAAGGGCAAGAGAGGCAGTAGTAGTCTCGCTCAAAGAGGAACAGCGCGCAAGGCGACCACCAAGGCTAGCAGCACTGCTAAAAGCAAAGCTAAAAGCCAAGGCCGAGCTCGCGGCGCTCGCAAGACTGCTGTGATGGAGATCCCTCCCAGTGATGATGACGAGGATGAAACGTGGACTAAGGATCCCGTTCCCTTGTATGAGGAGGAGGATGATGATGAAGATGAGGACTTTTACTTTCCTGGCGGGAGGAAGAGAAGGAAGCGCGGTGGGAAGAGGCCTGGTGCTGGGAGGAAGAAGAAGACTCCTAGTCCTGAGGAGGAGGAGGGGGAGGGAGAGGAGGCACACGAAGAGGAAGATGAAGAGGCAAAGGCTGATGAAGATGGTGATGTCCCGATGGCTGATGCTGATGGCACCTCTGGTCAACCGACTCGTAGTCGCCGCGCTAGAGCCGTGTCGGAGATAAGTGACAGCCAGGCCGAGCGTGATGAGGACGAGTCGGAAGACAGCGACGCGCCACTTTCGCCTTCGAGGGTTACGGCTCGTCGTAGGCGACAGTTGAGAACCACAGCAGGCCAAAACGCAACCTCAACAGCCACCACCGGCGCAGCAATAAACAACACCTCCCGCGCCACATCCACCTCAGCATCAGCTTACACAACCGCAGCGTCAACCTCCACCTCTACTCCCGCTCCTTCACAGCCAGGTGACGGTGACGGTGACGGTGACGGTGACGATGAAGCACCGGATTCCAACCAAGGGCAAGGAAAGAAACGCTCTAATAGAGGCGGCGCCCGTCCTGGTGCTGGGAGGAAGCCGAGGAAGACGCTGAGACAGGCTAGTGGGACTGGTTCTGCTTCGGAATCGACCACGGCTGGTACTAGCCATTGGGATAGGCTCAAGTCTACTATTGGTGGTGGTGGTGGTTCTGGTTCTGCGTCTGGTGCTGGGTCTGCCTTCACCTCCGCTTCCGCATCCGTCTCTGCGCCTTCAATCTCCCCTTCAGCACCCGCCGGCCCCAGTGGTCATAGTGGCTCTTCTCCTGGCAGAGGCAAAAAGCGCAAAGCGGATGAGGCGGCGGATGTTTACTCCATGGATGAGAACTCTTCTGCTTCTGGGTCTGAGGACGAGGAGGAGTCCGAAGCTGGATCGGAGCCGGAGTCTACCCAAAACCAAGTACTACCGAAAAGGCAGAAAACTACCACCACCACCGTTGCCTCCCCTTCCAAATCAAGCAGAAACAGAAACAGAACCACCCTCACCCGCTCCTCCCGCGCCGCCGCTGCTACCGCCGCCGTTAAAGCCAAAGCAATGGCATCCCCAGCAACAATGAAAATCAAGCCTCTGGGCGTCACCGTCACGAGATCACCGGGTGGCACGGCGGCACATGCTTTGCGCGCTCATGGCCATAATGCTGCCGCTCAGGCTCAGATTCGGGCTGAGCAATCGTTGAGGGCAGCAGCAGCAGCAGCAGCAGCAGCAGGAGTGACAGCGAATGCTCAGCAAGCCCAACATCCGCAACTACAAGAGCCGCCGCAGAGTAGTAGTAATCTCTACCATACAGCGGCAAACTTCCAGCCGTTTACTTCTGATAACGACGAGGATGATGGGGAGGAGGATGCTGCTTCTGGCGAGGAGGAGGAGGAGGAGGAGGAGGAGGAGGAGGAGGAGGAGGAGGAGGAGGAAGGTGAGGAAGTCGAAAAGTCTCCGGACGGAAATGAGAACGAGGATGAGGACGAGGACGAGGACGACGACGACGACGACGACGAAAGTCATGGTGATGGTGATGATGGCGATGTCGATGTCGAAAACGAGGATACGGATACGGGTGGAGATGAAGATGGTGATAACGGCGATGATGCTGACAACGAAGTCGACGATGAAGAGGGTGAGGAAGACGTCTCTGGCGATTACGACTCCGAGGATGGCGCTGCTTCTAATGCATCTGAAGTCTCTGAATCCGCCTCTGCTGATGAGGATGAAAATGACAACGGTGACCGCGAGGACAGTGAAGAAGACCAGTCCCCCGTCAAGCGATTAAGGCCTCGTCCGCAGCAACAAGCATCGTCGCTTGCAAAGTCAAAGTCCGCGACGACGAGTGGAGCTGCAGTTGTCGGCGGGAAGGTTTTGCGGCAGCGGTCCAACCAGTCTCAGTCACAAGGCAAAATCACAAGACAACAAAGCAGCATCGCCACCACTACCGCCAGTGGTAGTAAAGATAAGACCGAACAACGGAAACTCACTCGGAGTACCACCACCGCCACTAGCACCAGTACTGGCACCAGCAATGCCGGCACCCGCAAAACACCCAATCCCAATCCCAAACCCAAAGCCTCCAAGGAGACAAGACCAACAGCCGCCACCGCAGCAGCAGCATCAAATGCGTCGTCCAAGAGAACCAAGCTTACCAAGGGCACTAAACGCTCAGCAGCCTCGAAGGGAGAAAAGAAGGAAGGGGGGCCACAACCACAAGAAGGGGAAGGAAGCCACAGAAAGAGACAGAGACCGCTTAGATATCGGAACGAGGAGGAGTAGGAATTTTGACTTGTGATCCAGCCTTCCGGTTCTCTTTCGGGTTTCTTTCTTTAGGGGAATGGATGGAAGGTTGGAAGAGGAGGCTCTCAGCGAGAAGTACAAAGACCAATAAGCTTAGACTCAGGCTCATGTGATGGGATTGGGCTTAGTTTGGTGGCAACGGGGAAGTTAGTTGAAGAGGAGTTGGAGGTGGTCTTTGAAGAGATGAGCTGCGCCGGTGGAATGGAGAGATGAAGGGGGGCTGGGAGCGATGAACAATGGAAAATAGAGAAGGAGTCCTGGTTTCCCTGCTGCGCGTTGTAACATTAATTGTTGTATTGTACATATCGTTTTCGAGAAATCGGGGCTAGTCAGTCGGTTTAGATGGTTAGATGCGAATGCAGGGGAGTTGTGATAAAAACTGCTTGGTGCTATCGTGCGTTGTTCCTGGTGATGTGCCGCTGTCTTCCGAGGTCTTAAAACCAACTTTACAATCGATGGAAGCTTGTTTACCTCTACGCATGGCTCTTGCTAACGCCCTCCCTCCCTCCTTCGCCACATGAGTTTTGCTAATCGCTTTCCAAATAATATTATGTCCTATTCTATTGTACCCCTTTCTCCCTCTTGTTTTATCCTCGCCGTGTTTCTCTTCTACTTAACCGCAATTCTTTTTGAGTAAAACCTACCCGCACCCACCCGAAACCTACACGCACCCTCCCCTTTCTAAGACACTTGACAATAATCTTTCAGCAACGCCAAAATATTTCATGGAAGTTAGCAGGGTAAAAGATTAACCTTTAAATTCGTGGCTAACCTTCTTCTTTTAGTTACAAGGCCTTGGACCTTTGACTGGTCATTTGCATTCGCAGCGCCCGATTTCTGCAACGTACTTTGTACTGTAAAGGTTAACCCTAGGGAAGCCAAAAGTTTGGTAGAGGGTTCTGAGAGGATATAAGAGATAATTGCCATATAGACGTTTGGGTAGAGATGGCTATGCGTGGAATGATTTTGGTATATGTTTGGAAAGAGAGGGTGCGTGTAGCGTTTGGGGTGGGTGCGGGTAGGATTACTCAAAGTTAGGTACCATAGCGGGAAAATCACCAGGGCATCTAGCCTTGTCGGGGGGTTCAATGCTTGCAATTTTGACAAGCCTTGTTGTCAGATCTAGCACTGTTGAATCCCCAGCGCTATTGCTCAACGAGAGGCTTTGATTGGTTGGGGTCGGGTGCCAGATTGTCAGGTTGATAGGTTGTTCTTTCCCAAGTTTTCCAAGGCCAAAAAGGAATGACTAAGTGAACCAAATGACCATTGTTCTTTCCCAATCCACTCCCCATATATGAAGGGAAAGATCAGACCTCCTTATCAATCAATTGGGCCAGTGGCTCAATGGTTCTCGCCGTTGCTCTCTTTCTTTTGATTGCCAATTCGATTCCAGCTAGAGACAGCTTTTTTTCGCGCGAAAAGTTTCACGCGGTTGTAAATGCCCTCATCCGGACTTTAAAGCTAAAGTCTCGTCTTAGACTACCACAAAGACTACTACTACAAAGATAATTATAACGACTACTAACCAATAACCCCTATAATGACCTTTAGAAGGCCCTTATAGGGGTCTTTAGCTTTTGTTATTTTGCACCCAAATCTGACCAATTAGAGGCCTCCCTCAGCCAACAGTGCTAGATTCCACAACAAGGCTAGGCCAGTTATCTGCTCTAAGATTTGGAACTAGCCTTGAGGGGAGGACTCAAGGCTTGACGCTCTCCTCATAATCCCGCTGTAGTAGTCTCGAATCAAGAAGGATTGTAAAAAGTAAACCAGAACCAATGGTGCAAAATAAGAACCTGACGGGCTATAAAGGAAAGAAAAGGAACCTAGTGTCAAGATTGTAGAGGAAAGTAAGTTGAGGTGCCTACGGATAGCGCAAATACGTAGGGGACGTTAAAGTAGGAGGAGGACTAAAAATATATTAATAATTAATCCTGACAATTCTAAAAGCGAATTCGACCGGCTATTTATATCGTTATAAACTCTATCCTATAGTAACTAAATCCGTGACGGCTCTAAACCGTTCCGACGCTATACTATAGTATTATATTATACGGATATTAGTACTCTTTGATATTAATATAAATCTAACCCTTAATAAATCCATAATAATTTAATATAACCCCCCCTCTTTTAAATTTCTATCTTAGAAATTTATAAATACCTTACGTTGGTAGCTTCCCTACCGGCGCTCCTCCGTTACTATTCCTCCGTAGTTTACCTCTATAGCCGAATATACTATCGCCGAAACGCTGCTCTTTCCGGCTCTTCTTACTTTTATACTAATATTAACCTGCTACTTAATACCTATTAATCCCGTTTCCCCGCCGGCTTTAACCGCTTTCTACCTATTATCTATTATTTCCCTACTTTCTACTAGCTGCCGTTCTAAGCTTAAATTAACCGCCCTTCGTCTTATTATATTTTATTATTCTAAACTTAAATTAACTATCCTCTACTTTATTATATTTTACCCCCTTATTACTATTTAACGCTTATCGGCCATCCTTTCGTCCTAAATTATTTTCCCCGCCTTTCCTTTATTTCCTTACACCGCCTTCTTCTACCGCCTTTCTTACCCTCTATTATCTAAAACTAATTTATTTAAAAAAAATTTTAATACTACCCGTATTCTTATACTTCGATTATTTACTCCGATTCCATCCTATTTTATATTCCTAATTCTCATCATAAAAACCTTTCCTCCCTCCCCTCTTTTCCTCCTTCTCCTCTTCCTTCTTCCTTTATACATACTTATATATTTATTTATATTATAATTATAATTAACTTTTTAAACCCCGTCGACCAATATGACCTTTATAATTTAATCCTCTTTATCAAACCCAACTACCTTTAACTTTTATAAATATTTTTCCTTTCCGCCCTATATTTCCTATACTAATTATTTAATAACGCCGTCTACAATCCGCCTTATACTATCTCTTCTTAGGAAATTACAAATACCGTTACAAACTTACCCCCTAATACTACTAATGCTATTATAATCCTAGTCGTAAATTACTTCGTCTATACTTAATAAAGTTTATTAAATTCCTATTCCTTTTTTATTAATATTAATATTAATAAAATTATTCTTTTAAATAATAATACGTATTTAATATATCTCAAAATTCTAAATTAGCGCTTTTATAATTTCCCTCCAATCCTCTATAATCGCGTAATCGCATTTTAAAAAAACGTAATCGCCGTTTACGTAAAAAATATAAATAATATTATACTTACCCTTATTATCGCCTTCTATAATTCTGCTAATACTCTAATAATTAAAATCTATATTCTTTATGAACGCTTTTATATTTTTCTTCTAATACCCTCTAAATTTTATAACTACTGCTTTAATAAATAAATAAAACGTTATAACTTTCGCTATCCTCTTAATAATTATCCTACTAATTAAATTACCCCCGCTACTATTTTTATTTTCGATAGCTAATAATTTAACGTTGTAATTCCTACTCTCCTAATAATTCCCGCTACCCCCGTAAATATAATCGGTTTAATTAATATCTTCTAAATTATATATTTAATATATATTAATATTCGTTATTTATTACCCGCTGAAGTATCCCTTCAATCCTATAATAAGAGCGTATTAACATTAATAACTAATAATATAATAATAAACGAGGGTAAAATTTAAATTTAAATTATTTATTAATAGGTGTAATAGTCGCGTACGAAAGTCTAATTCTTAAGAAGATATGTTCGACTCCTATATTAACGTACAATTTAAATTCGAATTCGAAGATTAAATTAGGCAGTTATTACAATACTTAGCCTTCTACTTCTATAAGTTTCTAATTTTACTGTTATTAATAATATTGTCGTTGAAAGAAAGGAATACTAATTTAATAAATAATTAATAATTAAATACCGACGCGCTACTATATCTCCCGGCTTATTATCTTCTGTAATTCTTCAATCAACTCTTCCCCTCTCTATTTATACGCCGTTACCCGCCTTCTTAATATAATTCTCCTAATTCTAATTTAATATATTAAATATTCTATATATTATAATCGTCTAATATTCTATACGTTATAATCGTCTAATATTCCAAATATATTATAAATATTAATATTCTATAAATACTAATATATTATAATCGTTAATTACTTTAACTTCCTCTTATTAATTTATTTAATTTATTCTTATTAACCTAATTACTAAGCCTCCTTCGGCCTTTCTTCTCTATAACTCCCTCGCCGTATACTCCTTCAATAACTCTAGGCAATTTAAATCCTTTTATAATACTTATTCGTTATTATTATCCGAATACCCCTTCTACTTTACCTAATATTACCAATTCATTTCCAATCCTCAATACTTTATAATCGTCTCTACTTTATACTATATAAAATCGTCCTTAACGTTTACTACTTCTCCTCGTAGCGCTATTATTTTAAGGTCGCTATAGTACAATTCTAATAAAATAATAGAAAATACTAAATAAATATAATAATATTCTAAGAAAATAAAATAGTAAATTATCCTTTTATTGCTAATAATTTTAATAATTTACAAAGGCCCCAAGAATTTATTTACTAATTTAATACTAAACTTTTATTATTTAATATTCTTCGTATTAAAGAAAACCTAATTACCGATTTCGAATTCTTTAAATTTATGCGACTTATTATACTATTTCGTATAACCTTCATTAATTTTCTCCAAAACTTTGGCGATAATAATTCGTCTTTTAATTAATTCTATAATCCTTTCAGTAATTCCCGTAGGAAATATATTTCTATAACGCCAATCTAAATTGGTTAAACCGTATAAATAATAGTTGTAAAGTAATTTAAATAGGGATTTATTAATAATAATATAAAAGTAATTATTATAAATCTATTCTATTATTTTTAATTTCTCGGCCTAATTTACCTACTCTAAATTATAAAAGATCTATAAATATAATTCCAAATTTTAATTTTATTATTCTATCTATCCGTCCGTCTACGGGTATTAAGCGGTATTTAAGTAACGCCGAATATTTAATAATTTATAATAGATTTTCTAGAAATTATTTATAAAAAGGCTCCCTCTATCGAATATAATAGAATTTAGGAACCCGAACGGTTAGAATATAATTTATTAAAATAAATATACGAATTACTGTATAATAATTATTTTGTATATTGGAATATAGAAAACGAATTTAATAAAGTGGTTAATAATAATTAGGATGGCGTTGTAAATTTAATTAGATATAGGGTTGTAGAATTTAAATAAACCTATAATAAAATCGCAAAAAATATTTTACTATAATACTATTAAAATAAGCAATAATACGAAGAGCCCGTATAATTTATAATTCTGCAATTTTATTTTCTAATATATCGGA